CAGAAAGGCAGGCTCATAAATGCCCATGATGCCGAGTTCCACAGGTATCTGGAAAGACAGACTATTACACTTCACCCAGACACTCAAGATGCACATCAGGACCTTATGAGACTCATGTTTTATAGATATTTCCATTCTGTCATACATTCTTTTTTTTTTTTTTTGTAGTTTTACCGGTACCAGGGATCGAATTCACGACCACATGCTTGTAAGGCAGGTGCTTATGCCGCTGAGCTAAATCCCCAGCCCCCTGCCATACATTCTTTAACCTCCTTTCCTCACGTTTCCCACCTTCAGTGGAACACCAGTTCTCAGCTATAAACTGGGTCCTGAATTGTAGTCCCTAAGATGCCCAAACAAAGCCTCATCACTTTTTCAGTTTCCGGGTTTGATTGATCGATGTTACATGGTACCAGAAGTGGGGTCTGAGGAGTCTTGTCTCTGTCTGTGGTGCTGCCCAGACACAAGCAAAGGCATCTACCCAGGGCCATTCAGACTCTGGCTTCCCGTGGAGTCAGGCTGCAGCTGAGGCCTCTGGATTTCTGAATGTCTCATCTCTTTGGTCAAGAGTGTGAACCTTAGGGGCTGGGGATTTAGCTCAGCAGCAAAAGCACCTGCCTAGAAAGCAGGCAGTCGTGAGTTCGATCCCCGGTACCGATAAAAAGGAAAAAGACCAAAAAAAAAAAAAAAGAGTGTGAACCTTTCCTGGGGTGTCCTTCGTTGCTGGTCGCCCATGAGGGAAAGCCCTAAATGTCTATGTCTAGAAGGGAAAGACTCCACTGGGAAAGGGAACCTTTATAATTATAAAATATACACAGAGACAAGTTTTCCAGTGACATCAATGTTGTGAATCATCATAAAGGTAAACTTCAGTAACCAACACCCACATCCAGAACTAGAACATCCCCAAGTTTAATCTTGTCCTTTTGGTGCTCCCCCAAAGCATCCACATCCTAGTTGTTATGGTGACATTATGGTAATCACTTCCTTGTTTTCACACTTTTACCATCAAACACACATTCTCATTTTAAAGTAGTTTTTGGTTTTTTTTCCTCAACACTGGGCATTGAACATAGGGCCTTGCACATACCAGGCAAGGACTCTAACACTGAGCTACCCCCTCAGCCCTTATTATTTTGTACTTTGAGACAAAGTCTCCTAAATTGTCCACACTATTGCAATCCTCCTGCCTCAGCCTCCTGAATATCGGGGGCTATCATCCTGGCACCAAGCCCAGCTCTTGCCTGTTTTTGAACTCCACATATAAATGGGATCAAATGGATACTTTTGGGCCTTGTTTTCTTCACTTGGCACACATTGAAGACTCATCTGTGTTTTTGCCTGTAGTGTCCTTCATTCACTTTTGTTATCAGAAACACTCCTGTACGGTGACATCGTATTTATCTTTGTTCCACCATGGCGCACAGTGGGGCTGTCACAAACAAGGCTAAGAACTCCCTGTGCTGTGCCTGGTGTGTACGGTATCTAGAGCACACACAGGTGCAGGGCTCCTCCCTCCAGGTGACATCCCCAGTGACAGCCACCTACATTTCCACCCGTGGGCACTTTCCGCACTGGCCTCTGTGTACCGCTGAAGCTGAGCACTGTTTCCTAAGTACACTGACCACTTGCTTTTCCTCTTGTCCTTTTTTAAAGTACCTGCTCAAGTTCTTTGCCTCTGAAATTTATTTTTAGTTTTTCAACTTGGATGTTTCTCCCCTTCAGCCTTGCAAGAGTTCTATGTTCTGGATCTGAGCCCTTTGTTGGCAATATCTTCTCCCATTCCTTGCTTTCCTTCTCATGCTTTGAGTGGCATGTTTATAAGGAAAAACTCTTGTAGCAGGGATATAGCTCAGTGGCACCTGTCTGGCAAGCGAGAGGTCCTGAGTTTGAGCTCTTGCTTTAAAGTACCTGTGTTTACTGATCTTTTCCTTTAAGATTAGTTCATTGTATGACTTTTTAAAAATGCTTCAAGAAATTTATAATGTTTTGTTATATCTTAAAATGTTGGTTTCATCTTTCATGTTTAGATCTGAAAGTAGCCATCTGGAGATTTATGCCTCTTCCTGATATCTGTCCCATCCAGTTGACATCTTTTACATTTGAGAGTAAAAAAGCATCTGTATAATTTCCTTAAACCTTTCTCCTTGGAAACAAGCACTGACTCTTTATTAATTCTTTTTGCTTCCTCCGCTCTTCTCCTCCCCACCCCAGATTGAACCCAGAGCTTTGCACTGAGTCACGTCTCCTCTTTTTTTGTTGTGACAGCATCTAAATTGCCCAAATAGGCCCTGCTCTTGCTGTTCTCCTGCCTTGACCTGCCAGATAGCTGGGATTGCATGTGTGCACCACCGCTAATCAGAATTCTGGCCATTGTAGATGATTGGCTTTCTTTAGTAGTTCATGTTTGTACTATATAATCTTTATATTCCTCATGTGCAGTTGGTACATGCTCAAAACATACATTTTTCATCCTATCATTCTCCTTCTCTTCTAAGAAATATCTATCTCCCTACTCTTTATTTATACTTTGGATTTCTCACATAAAAGGAACCATGCACTATTTAAACTTGTGTCTGATTTACTCCACTTAACAAAGTCTCAAGGTGCATTCTTTTTCCTACGGATGACTCAAGTTTACTTGGTACTCTATAGTGTGTAAATCCCCTTTGCTTTATCCATCCACATAGATGACTGGCCTTTGGAGAGGTGTGGGAAAGCACAGTGTAGTGTTGTGGAAGCTCCCACCTGGAGCCCAGGATACCAATCCTCAGTGCCCTGCCTGTCTGGGATGCTATGTGAGGCTCCACAAAAGAGACCAGGAAGTGCGCCCTCGGGTCCTGTGGAAGGCAGGTCCTGCCTGCAGCAGCGGTTGGCAGGTTTCTATTTCTCCATTGGAAAGACAGCTCATGGAGTATAGGATGGAGGAAGTTAATGACACTAAATAAAACAGGCAGGAGGTTAGTGTTGACTTTATATCCAGCTACACTACTGAATTTGCTTATTAAATCTAGCAGTGTTTTAGTGGTTTGGGAGGTCTTCTATGTAGAGTATGTTGTCATCTGCAAGTAATGATAATCTAACTTCTTCCTTTCCTATCGTTATTCCTTTTACTTCTTTCTCTTGTCAAATTGCTCTGGCTAAAGTTTCCAGGACTATGTTGAATAAGAGTGGAGACAGTGGACATCCTTGTCTTATTCATGATTTAAGAGAGAAAGTTTTCTGTTTTTGTCCATTTAGTATGATGTTGGCTGTTGATTTGTCATAGATGGCTTTTATGAAATTGAGATAGACCATCTACTCTAATTTTCTATAGGGATGTTATCATAATGGGTCCTGGACTTTTGTCAAAGGCTTTTTCTGCATCTGTTGAGGTGATCATATGATTTGTCCTTTGTTCTATTAATATGGTATATTACATGTATTGATTTGCATATGTTGAGCCATCTCTGCATTCCTGGGATGAATCTTACTTGGTCATGGAATATAATCTTCTTGATGGTTTGCTGCATTGTGTTTACCAGTATGTTATTGAGGATTTTTGCATCTATGCTCATTAGAGAGATTGGTCTGTAATTCTCTTTCTTAGTGAGAGCCTTCTCCAGCTTTGGTATCAGGGTAATGCTTGCTTTCAGCAATGAATTTGGGAGTATTATTTCCCTTTAGATTTCATTAACAAGTTTGAGTAGTGGTATTAAGTCTTCTCTAAACTTCTTGTAAAATTCAGTAGTGAATCTGTCAGGGCCTTGGCTTTTCCTTATTGACAGGTTTTTAATTATATTTTCAATTTCATTGATTGATAATGGTTTAGGATTTTTATGTTCTCTTGATTCAGCTTTGATAATTCATATGTATCTAGAAATCTGTCCACTTCTGTATTTTCCATCTTACTAGAATACAAGTTTTCAAAGCAGATATAGATGATCTTCTCAATTTCTGCAGGGTACATTGTGATTTTATCCTTTTCAGTCCTAATTGTGTGGATTTGAGTCTTTTCTTCTTTTGATAGTTAGATACAAGTTTATTGAGGCAGGAGATTAGGGTTCTTCTCGCTCTCTTTTGCTGCAGGATTGGGAGTGAACACCTCCCAAATGAAGTTATGGAGAAAATCTTATCTGCAGAGTATGAGAAAAAGGTAGAGGACTCTCTCCCTCCAAATAAGATTAGGGAAATGTGTAAAATGTGGGAAACGGTGCAAAATTCTGTAGAAAAGCACACCCAAATAGGGTGGTAGCAGTGCAAGCAATGAATCTGTTTAATGACAATGCAGTGTAATAATCCTACAAAATCTTCACAAGGAGGTAAAACCAAGAGTCATTGGTCAGGGTCTTCATTAAAGCAGCATGAAAAGAAAAAAAATTGCACTGAGCCAGTAGAGAGCAGGGATTCTGTTAGTGAAAGTCGTCCTACACAACAGCCCTCCTCTCCCCGCTCCCTCACACCGGCCATGAAGGTTTGCAAAGCTAAGTGCCGGTTAATTTATTTTTATTTACTTTCAGATATTTTCTTATATTACAGTATTGTAATCACTGTAATACAAGTGATTCAGATCAGAAGCATGTTTCCAGAACAAACTATGCTTGTAAACCAAGGTTTTGTGGTGCATGGCCACAGAAGCCAGGTATGGAAGTTGCACACCTGTAATTCCAGCACCCTGGAAGGCTGAGAGGAAATGATCACCCAGCCTTGGCAACCTTGTGAGAGCTTGTCTCAAAATAAAAAGGAAATGTAGTTCAGTGGGAAGGCCCTGAGTTACATCCCCAAGCACGCACGCACACACATATATATTGCCAAAACCAAAATAAACATAAACACTCGGGTTTTTTTAATTAGGATTTATTTGCAATAATAAGTACATTCATCTTGGGGAGTTGATACATATACATATTGTATCTGAATCATTTTTGCCAGTGCTGGGATCAAACCCAGAGTCTCCCTACCCATTCTAGACAAGCATCAGGCATAACACTGATTATACTTTGGTTGTGAACGCACTGCAATTTTCCCATCATGAGAAATTCCTCAAACTCCTCAAACTCCATGAGCAGTCATATGGTGTAGACCAGATCACAGAAATACAAGGTCAACCCAAGCCTCCTGGTGCATAAACCTCTTCCCTTAAGGATATGAAGGCAAGTTTTATTTTGCTTCCTGGAGAGTAATTTTTGTTAAAGAAATGAACAAGGGTTGGCCAGGGGTGGGCAGGCCACTCCTGGTACTCTCTGCAGTGGGTCAGCAGCCCCACAGTCACATGGAAAAGTTTAGTAAACAGCGGAGGGAGCAGGGTTTGCAGCGTCACCTGTCCCCACTCACAGAGGTGACCATCAGCAGTGGCACATCAGGCCGAGAGACTGCCGTCAGGTGTACACCAGGAACATGGCTCAGGAAAGGAATCATAGCCAAGTGCCTATGCTTTGTTCCACTGGCTGCAGATTTTATGGAAAACCTCGTACAAATGGTGTGTGTTCAGTGTGCTATAAAGAGCATCTTCAAGCCAGGCATGGTTGTGCACATCTGTAATCCCAGCACTCAGGAGACTGCGGCAGGAGGATTGCCATGAGTTCGAGGCTAGCCTGGCCTATGTAATGAGCCTGAATTAGAGTGAGACCCTGTTTAAAGTGAGACCCTGTTTTAAAAAAAAAAATCTCAAACACAGAATAGAAGTACTGGTAGAGGGGGCTGGGGATTTTGCTCAGCGGCATAAGTGCCTGCCTTGCAAGCAGGCAGTCGTGAGTTCGATCCCTGGTACCGATAAAAAGGAAAAAGACAAAAAAAAAGTACTGGTAGAATAAGCCCACCTGCAGGTCCTGTCAGCAGTATGAACATTACCAGTTCAGTGCACAGACGGCAGTGTCCAGGGGCTCAGTCAGCATTAGAATCTACGTCTTCATCTATGCAGCAAAGCTCTGTATCAGATCAGTCGTGTTATCAGAATCTGTAGAATCCTCCCTAATGGACCAAGTGAAGATCTGCAAGCTTGAGTGCCAGGCACAGCATAGCAGTCGTCTGAAGAGCAAAGCAAGCTCCCTGAAAAACCAAAACAGAAAAAGAACTGGTGTCTCACGTGTGGAAAGGAAATGAGGCTCCTTGCATTTGAATGCCACTGTGAATATTTACAGTGGTGTACACCGTTATTCAGATGTGCATGGTTGCTCTTACCATTACAAAGCTGCTGCAAAAAGTAAAATCAGAAAAGAAAATCTAATAATTGTTTGTGAAAAGATACAGAAGATTTGAATTCCTGCTGGAATACAAAATCCTCTGACCATATGCAACTAAAAATTTACTTGAAGTTTTTTCTCCTAGTCTCGCTGGAAATGTAGAGCAGTGTATCTTGCACAGACCTTTGAATTTTATGTATTTTTTGTCTTTTTTGAGACAGGTCTCGCTATGCATTTCAGGCTGGCCTTGAGTTCACTTTGTAGCTCAGGCTGGTCTCGAACTTGCAACGATCCTCCTGCCTCAGCCTCCTGAGTACTAGGATTACAGGCGTGAGCCACCATGCCCAGGTGAATTTTATATTTATTTATTTCTGATGAAAACTTTTTTATTTTAAAGGGAATAAAATAAGAGTAAACAAAACAAAACGGTGATAGGACAGTAGTCCTATATTGCATATTGTTATCCTCTAAATAGTTGCTGTGTCCAGGCCTGCACAGTCAACCAAACACAAATGTCAGGTTGCTTCCCTATTTCGGTTTTTACCATCTCAGCCTGTGTCGCATCTGGTTGCTTACAGGTGGGGGTGGGGGTGGCTTCCCTGTTGGTTCTCCCTGGCCAGCAGGGCCTCCTGCACACACACTGTAGGTGGCAGGCTGTTCATAATAGTTTTAATCATGCATGCCATCAGAAGAATGGGTTTGTTTTGAAAATGACTCTGAACATTTATTTCCATTGCAGTTTTGTGGCTGAAAAGATTTAAACTTTATGAGTATTATCCTTTTAGGAACATTTTAATTTTAGTTGAATGCAGAGGGCTTTTATAATATGGAGAAATTTTGGAGGGCTGTGATTTTTCCCGCATTAAACATGCATGCATTAATCTTAAAATTTATATTCTCATTATGTGTATGTATGTGTGTATTTTTTCTCTGCAGCATTTCTCTTTTGACTTTTTGAGTCAGGGTTTCACTATGATTCCAGGTTGGCCTTGAACTTACTATGTAGTTCAGGTTGGCCTCAGCCTCCGGTCCGGCACGATTGTTCTTTTGACGGTGCCTTTTCAGGCACAACTAGTCATCAGTAACTGAATGTATCTTAATCACTATGGCTGCTTCCATTTCATTAACAAAGGTTATACATATGTTAACACAGTTTCTTGGACCCACCATTTATGTCTAAAACATTTGTCACATGAGCTGATGTGATTCTTGGTTTATTTTTCTTTTCAGGAGCAAAGGAAGAAAGTGTTGTATTTCATCACCGAATGCAGGTTTCTTTCAGGTCCTGTCCACTAGGCTGTACAGCATGAAGAATGATCTGAAGAAATTGTGCTGTATTTGTATTTATCCATCAGTCTTTGAGTAAATAAAAAGGAAAGCCAGGATAACAAAAAAAATTAACCAGGCTTTGCTTCCTCCTCTCCGACCCTTGTACTTCACCGCTGACCTCAGGGATCCTGCTCTTTACCAATGCAGAGAAGTGCTAATGAGCTTAACTGGCAGGAAGCATCTGCAAATGTCTGTCAAATGAATGCTTGATTTGCCACGTTTGCATGACTTTCCATAATCAGAAGGGGCCTGAGTTTTTTCAGGCATGAGTGATTATTCTTGACTTTCAGTTTGCCCCGTGGTTTTTCTATATTTAGGCCTTAGATGTTTTGTGGTTTCAATCTTAGGTATTACTTTCGTTTTAGAGACAAAGTGTCGCATCTTCACTGCAGAACACTTGACTGCATTTAGATATAAGAATCTGGACTTGTATGTAAACTTTAAACAAATTTTTTGAGACAAGGTCTCACTATGGATTTCAGGCTGGCCTTGAACTCACTCAGTAGTCCAGGTTGGCCTGAAACCCTAAAACTCTTGATGATCTTCCTGCCTCAGCCTCCCGAGTGCTGGAATTACAGGCAAGTGCCATCACACCTGGGCAACTATACCTTTCAGGGCACAATTTTTGTAAATACTTCCCTTTGCCAGAGGAAAGAGGACATCACATTTTTATCTGCTTTACTTATCATGTTGTCACAAGGGAAAAAGAAAATGCTGAGCTTGATTTAATTAGCAAAGTCCAAAGGAAACAGCTGGGTACAGCCAGGGCCTGTCGGGAGCCGGCCTTGTGGGCATGAGGGATAGAAGCAGCCAAGGAAATGGGCTGGCTAGGGGCCACCCTGGGAGGATCAAGCCCCCTGCCAGACACACGACTCACCGGCTGGACAAAGGTGGATGGACCATAAGCAAATGTTAGTGAAAATGGCATATGAGGACTGCTTGTGATTAGTTTACTCTACAAGGGAAGCAAATACATAACCATGGTTAACCAATGTGCTGTCTTAAAGTGCTCCAAAGCCACCCAACCACGTGGACAGCCTCCCTGTCTGAAGCAGACCTGCTTTTAGGTCTTCAACAGATTATTTCCAGGTAGTTGGTGTCCTGAACAAGAAATTGGATAAGACACATAGAGAGGACAGTGAGGAGTTACACTTACTGAAGGTGGGAAAGAAGTAATTTCTGCAGAGTGAGAGCAGAGTGAGAAGGCTCACAGAACTGCCGAGGAGTAATGGCCGGGCTTCTCTGTATCTCCACATTGCTTCTCCCTCATGCAAACAAGGCATCTGGGACAGCTGTTCTGTCACTTCACCCCATGTCAGTTACCCTATTCTGTCAAGCCCCGCTTGGTTTCATGACACATGTAAATGAGGAATCGAAAAGGTCCTTTTCTGATTGGTAGTCTGTATTCTCATCCGGGTTTCTGTGTTCTGCACATGCGCCCTCATGATTGACAGTTGGCTGACTGGTTTGCCCTGCCCTCATCTCCTACCTCTCTGAGATGCGGCATTGCCATTGGAGGGGAGAGACAAAGTGGACAGTGGGGAACAGACAGAACAGACTTCTGCTAACCACTGCCCTTTTTGCTGAGGATCTTTCATGATAGACTGGTTTTCTGGGGATAAGGAGAGTACTCATTCTTTTCATATAAATTATAGGCGAGGCAATTATTAAACCCTGGAAATTCCAACTGGAATTTAAAACATCATTTTTTCAAAGAGTGGTCAGGGAGACAGGCAGCAAGAGAATAACACATCATGTGAGGGATCAGAGTGAAGAACGTACAAAACAGAGCATCGAAATGCAGACCTAATCTTGGCTTGATGGCACAAGTCAATAATCCTAGCACTAAGAGAGGTTGAAGCAGGAGGATCACAAATTTGAGACCCACCTGGGCAACTCAGTGAAGTAGCTGGACTCTGCCTCAAAATAAAAAATAAAAAGGCCTGCAACTAGCTCAGTGGTAATGCCCCAGGGTGCAAGACCCCTGTACTGCAACCATCACCACCTCAGGCCTCCTTTCCCTCAGGTTCAGTAAAAGTTGAACTTTGACCTGAGACTTGAAGGCTAACCCTGAGGAGATGAGTGATGGCATTGCCCCACAGACAAGCACGAGGCTCAGAGCCTGAGTGACCCTAAGTGATGGCCCAAGAGCAAAACCACTGTGCCTGGCCTGGCAGAGAAGTGGTAAAGTCAGGATGGACAAGAAACAGGAATTAAAGGAGATTAACATAACAAAGCAGAAGTAGGAACGGGGGATTAGCCACATGGTGAGGGCCGCAGGAACCAATTGCATATCTGACTATGTTGGGAGCCAGCTTTGTGAAAACTGGGGGTGTAGGAGGCACAGAATGGAACTGTCATAGCTTAAGAACACCATGAGGGGCCACAGAAAGTTCTTGATGTCTTAATTATGGTTCAGGCTGGAGTTGAACTTGAGGTTCTCTTATCTCAGCCTCTCAAGAGTGCTGAGATTAGAGGCATGAGTCACCATGCCAAGCTTCAATGCCTTTTTTTTTTTTTTTCTGTTTTTATCGGTACCAGGGATCGAACTCACGACTGCCTGCTTGCAAGGCAGGCACTTATGCCGCTGAGCTAAATCCCCAGCCCCTTCATTGCCTTTTTTTTAGGAGGAAACTGAGGCCAAAGAGGAAAAATGGCTACAAGTGTCCCTGTCACACTGTTTCTGCCATAGCCCTCTTTCTGCTGAGCGTACCCAAGTCTTCCTCCAAGGAACCACTTGTTATGGTTTAGATCTAGACATCCCCAGAGAGCCTCACCTGCTTTTGGAAGGTGACTGGAGTATGAAGGCCTCATAGCTGACGTGCTCTTAGGGGAAGTCTAGGGGAACAGGTATGTCACTGGGGGCCTGGCCTGGTTTATCTCTCTCCCCAGCTCCTCCCTTCTCTCTCTGCTCCCTGGCTGCCAAAACCTTGAGCAGTTTTTCTGTTTTTCCACCAAGTCATTTCCTATCTGGAGGCTGCCAACTATGGACTTAAACATCTAAAACCGCGAGCCAAAATAAACTTGTCCTCATTCAAGTTGTGGATATCTGGTATTATGTCTCAGCAGCAAGGTAAGTGACTAAGACCGTGTTACGGTGTGTGTCCGGATGTCCCTCCAAAGTTTCACACAGTCATAGGAGCAGGCATCTAGAATTTGTGATTAAATTATGGTCCAATGCTGGGATTATGGATGTGAGTGCTACCCTCAACCTGGGGGTCTACATACAATATAAGCAAAGGAAAGTCTCTCAAGCTCCTCCTTCTTGCTCTTATTGTTTTTGCTGTTTTTCGCTATGAACTGTTGCTCTCTGCCATGTGACACTCGGAGTCAGCAGATTATGGACTGAAACTGCCACAAACTGTGAGCTAAATAAACCTTTTCTTCCTTAATTTTGCGCATCAGGTATTTTGTCTCAGCTACGAGAGAACATTAACCAAGATAGATCTCATCACCTTTGGCCCTCTGGACCCTACTGTTTTGGGGTGGCTGCCAGATTCAATTCACAGATGCCAGCCCCTGAGGGTGGTTAGGGTCAAGGTTAGGTGCAGGAATTCACAAAACCAACAGGGACAACATGAGGCTTCTGCTTTTTTTTTTTTTTTTTTTTTTCCTTCCACTGGTGTCAGCTAGTGTAGGCTGCCCAGTCTTTTTTTTTTTTTTTTTTGTCTTTTTCCTTTTTATCAGTACCAGGGATCGAATTCATGACTGGCTGCTTGCAAGGCAGGCGCTTATGCCGCTGAGCTAAATCCCCAGCCCCAGGCTGCCCAGTCTTGACAGCAAAAAAACCTATCCACATCCTCAGAAAGGAGCAAAAACTAAGAGGAAACAGAAGGGTATGTTACACAGCTGTTACTGTAAGAAACACCTAAAATAATCAACTTTTTTTTTGTTTTGTTTTTTTTTTTTTTTTGATACCAGGGATCAAACTCATAATCTTTTTTTTTTTTTTTTTTTTTTTGTCATTTTCCTTTTTATTGGAATCGAACTCACGACTGCCCGCTTGCAAGGCAGGCCCTTATGCCGCTGAGCTAAATCCCCAGCCCCAAACTCATAATCTTGTTCTTGCTAGGCAGGCATTTAGCAGCTGAGCTAAATCCACTTGCCAAGTTTCATTTATAAGTAATCAACTTATAAATGAGAAAGGCTCTTTGATTTTTGTTTTTAGTTTTTGTTTTGTTATTTGAGGCTGAGTCTTACTACGCAGTTCAGGCTTGCCTTAAACTTGCTTATGAGGCTTAGGCTGGCCTGGAATTCATGGCAATCCTCCTGCCTCATCCTCCAAAATACTGGGATTATATGCACCACCATGCCCAGCCGACAAAAAATTTATTTGGCTCACAGGTTATGAGGTTTCAATCCATTACTGGCTGGCCCTGTTGTGGTCTCACTATATAATTCAAGCTGACCTTTTAGCCCAGGCTGTCCTCAAACTACCAGTGATCTTCCTGCCTCAGCCTCCCAAATGCTGGGTTCACAGGAGTGTACTGCCTTGCTTGGTTTGGCCCTGTTGCTTTTGAGTCTGTGGAGTCTCATGCTGGACAGCATGGCAGAGGACAGTCACTCACCTCATGGCAGGAAGTGAAAAGAAGAGGAAGGGGCCAGTCTCATTATCTCCACTGAGAGCTCCTCCTCAATGGCCTGAAGATCCCCCACCATGCCCCATCCCTTACAGGGTCCACCCGCTGCCCAGAGCACCAAGCTGGGGGCTTTTCAGATACAAACTCCAGCAGAAGGGAAACAAGTTCTAGGTGACAGTTTTTGCCTCTGTGTCAGTTGTGCCTGGGCTTTCACCACACATCACCCTTGACGTTTCTTTTGTTTTCATTCTCCATCCTATCCTGGCTGCTTTCCACCCAGGGCAGATGCAGTGGGTGTAAGTCCCTGGGGGCCAACACTCATGATAGGAGTCACTCAGCCTGAGGCCTCAGATGTGACACGGGAACACCACCAACACTCACCTCTATAGGTGGAAAGCACTCACATCCATACCTGGCACCAAGGAGCACTCGCGTATTACTAGCATCACTAGAACAAGTGAACTGTGTTGTCACTGGCAACAAAAAGAAGTTGAGCAGTACAGCAACTATTATTGTCACCATGCCATGGTGACAATATTACATTTCTTTCATGAACATGTTTTTTTTTTTACTTGTACTGGGGATCGAACTAGGGACCTCACACTTGCCAAGCAGGTGTTTATGCACTGAGCTAAATCCCCAGCCTTCTATGAAGATTTTTAAAAAAAAAATTTTTGCAGTAATTGGAATTGAATCCAGGCCTTTTCAGAGAGCTACATCTCCAACCCCTTTTAAGTTTTTTTTTTTTTTTTTTTTTTTTTTTTTTTTGAGACAAGGCCTCACTGAGTTGCTAGATTGCCCAGGCTGGGCTCAAACTTGCCATGCTTCTGCTTCAGTCCTCCCAGGGTGCTGTATTACAGGTGAGAGTCACCAGGCCCAACTAAGTGAAATTTTAAATTTGTGCACTCAAGAGCTACCTTTCAACTAGTCGGAATCCATAGAGATACCTGTTTACTTAGCCACCTCCCTGTGCCTCACGGGCGTTCAAGCTGCTGGCGCTCCCAGACACCCAGATCTGCCCCTTCTTGCCTGCGAGCCCCGCGTCCACATCTCCAGCTCCGCTCCTGCAGCCAGGGCCCGGGGGCAGCGAGCGGTCAGCACCGGGTTTCGTCGCCTGAAAACGCGGAGAGCCCCCTAGACCAGATCTTCGCAGCAACACCTGGCGCGACCCCGGAAGTGGGCGGGCAGGAGAACCTGCGCCCCCCTAAAGCGACTAGACAGTAGCCAATCGCACATCCCAGGTCGTTACGTCATGACAGTACTGTCCAATGGGTGATGGTCTGTACCCCACTTCCGGCCCGCCCCTCGCCTGCGGCTGGGGAGGGCCGGCCCGCTAACCCAGCAGGAGAGGAGCATCTGGCTCAAGCCGGGCCAGGCGGCGCCGGGCCAGGTGAGTGTGTCGTGGTGCCCTCTCAGCAGCTGCCACAGGAACGTGGCGACTCGGGCGCTTGCTCTCTAGGAAGGTTCGGGTAGCGGCGCCCCTCAGTTGGCTGCGTTTATGAGGACCCTGGGGAGGGCGAGAGGGGCTCTACCTGTTCTCTGTCCTGCACACCTGGCGGTCGGCTCCTCCTCACTCCCCCGAACGCCGACCCGATCGGCCAACCCAACGCCAGGCTCTGATGACGCCCCCACTCCTTCAACTGGAGTGATTGGAGAAGCCAATCGCTGCACCCTAGCGGCTTTAGAGAATGGAGTTACATGGGCCTTTCTGGGCAGACGGGGAAACAAATCTGTTTGTGCTGGGATTAGCATGGGCAGATGGTCAGGGCCTTCCTCGCGGATGTATCCACTAATGGCCGGGCAAGGGCCCACCTGTCGCCCAGTGCAGGAAGTGTGGTACAAGGCAGGCTGACTCAGGGCACCTCCTGCCTGGTGAGGCTGGACAGACACCCGCGCTCCCATACACCGGACCTGCACCTTCTTGCCTGCGGGGCCCGCGTCCACACCTCCAGCTCCGCTCCTAAAGCCGAGCCCTGGGAGCGGCGAGTCCCATCTATTCACGAAGGACTCAACTGTTGTGCAAATCCTGTCGATTCCTCCCTCGCTGCTTCCCTGGGATCCTGATGTAGCTTTCAAGCCGTACCACAACCAGCAGCCAGCAAATTGCCTTAGTAGCCATTCAGGAAGGAGTCCTAAGACAGACTCATGCATGCATGGGAAGTGCATGCATGGGGAGCTTTCCTGTACCCTGCTGCCCACTCTATCACCTCTACTCCCGCTGGCCTTGGGCCCTTTTTGGTTTCTGTACGATCTGTAAGCAAACTGATGCAGAAAAGCAGGTGGCTTTAAGGGTGCTGAGCAGGCCTTTTTCGTCTGTTTTCTTACACACACACACACACACACACACCTGCCCTCATTTTATTTTATTTTATTTTATTGGTACTGGGGATCGAACTAGGGACCTCATGCTTGCAAGGCAGGCGCTTATGCCACTGAGCTAAATCCCAAGCCCCATCTCCTTTTTTTTTTTTTTTTTTGTCTTTTTCATTTTTATCAGTACCAGGGATCGAACTCATGACTGCCTGCTTGCAAGGCAGGTGCTTATGCCGCTCAGCTAAATCCCCAGCCCCCCACCTCCATTTTTTGAGACAGAATCTCACTTTGTAATTAATGGTGGCCTTGAGTTATGTAGCCGAGGCTGATCTTGAACTCAGGGTGATCTTCCTGCCTCCGACCTCCTGGGTGCTGGGATTATAAATGTATGCCACTATGCCCAGCCTTTTAAAAAAAATATTTTATTTTGAGACAGAATCTCCCCACCTTGGCCAGGATGGGCTTGAACTTTTGATCTTTCTGCCTCAGTCTCCCAGGGTACTGAGATTACAGGTCTGCACCATCACACCTGATTGAGAAGACCTTTTTAAAACAGAATGACTGAATATCCAATTCAAAATCATTCTGTGGAAAATCTTGGTGAATTAGAGGTTGCTTCTTTGGAAGCTGTTCCCTCCATACCTTTACTTTTACAAAGCAAAGAAATCCCAGAATCCAGAACCACAACACTTAATATTCTACACCTGTTTTCAACAGTATTGCATCACAGTGACACAGGACAGGTTGCTTGGTCGGCCCTCAGCAAGGAAATGGCATGTGAAGGGTTGGGGTGCATCCTGGTTGAGGCAGAAAGGTGTGGCTAGCCAAGGGTATCGGCTCAGTGGTACCTTTTGCTGGGAAGTAACAGGTGTCTGGGCCCACATTTCAAAAGGATTTGTAAACACAACCTTCATGCATCCTTTCTCTGCCAGTGTTTTTCCTAACTGCCCAGAAGGTTGAATTATGTTTGAAAGGAAATTACTGCTTAGTCACTTATCTGAAGGGAAGTGTATCAAACACAAGTCAGAGGCTCCATTATTTGAGCTCAACTTTAGATGGAACCTGACTGGCTTATGAGCTATCTTAGAAAATTAATTTATAATTTTAAAATGACATCATAGAAACTTTTTCAAAAAAATTACTTTTTTGGTCAACCATTTATGGTGAAAATTTTCAAACATACAACCAACTTGAAAGACTGTTTCTGTCCCTTCCTCTTTCCTGTTTCCTTGTCTCCTTCTTTCCTTCTTTCCTTGCTTCTTTCTTTCTTTCTTTCTTTCTTTCTTTCTTTCTTTCTTTCTTTCTCTGTGCTGCGGATCAAACCCAGGGCCTGTTAGACAAGTGCTCTACCAGTGAGCAACACTTCCAGCCCCAAACTGAAACAGTTACACAATGAGCACCCACCACTGTGCTCTTCGCCTTATTAATTATGCTGTTGGTACTTCCTCCATCAAATATCTGCCCACCAGTCATGCCTTTTCAAGTAATCTGTGGTTCCCTTTCCTGGAGCAGTATTTCTGTCTAGGCTCAGGGAATTTGCAGCTTGTTGGGAGTGGGTGGAGGTGATTATCATTAAACACTGGTTGAACATCCTCTGTTTATGGTAACTGTTGTGAGAAAATGAAGTGACTGAAGACTCAGGTGACCACAAAGGAAATTGGTTTTTGTTTTCAGACATAGGAGATAAATAGCACAGTGTGTAGCAAATGGCAAGTAATGAAATGACATCAGTCCCACTCATTCAGTTCTTGCTGAGTACTGAACTATGTTTATCAGTATTGCCTGATTTAATTCTTACAAGGTAAGTAGGTCACTATTCCATTCTGGCTTCTTTTTTTTTTTGGGGGGGTGGGGCGGGTATTGGCAATTGAACCCAAGGCCTTTATATACTTTCTCAGCCCTTTTTATTTTGAGGTAGAGTCTTTGTTTGTTTGACTTTTTAATTTTTTTATCTTTGAGACAAGGTCTTGCCATGCAGTTCAGGTTGGCCTTGAACTCACTTTGTAGCCCAAACTGGCCTTGAATTTGCAGGGATCTCCTGCTTCAGCCTCCCAAATGCTGAGATTATGGGTGTGACTGGCCTGAGATATGGGTATGACTGGCCTGAGATAGAGTCTTGCCAAGTTGCCTGGACTGAGTTTGAATTTGTCTCAACCTCCCAGAGTGCTGGGATTACCGGCATGTACCACCATACATGGCCCTTTCTGATTTGTATACAAAAGGAAGTTAAGGCAAAGAGAGATTAGTACTGAAGCACGCCGAATTGTGCCGAATTGTGGCAGTGTGGGTCTGGGATGCTCTGAGCACTCTTAGTCACTTTGAAGGTGCGGGAAGGACCCTCAGGCCTGGGTAGACAGGAAGGAAAGGGCTGGGAGTCACCAGTGGTCCTGCCTGAGGCCCTGGAACACAGACCCCAGTTTCCAGGTGTGTCTGACAGGCGTGCTGCCCTGAAGTTTTGGGAGCCAGCAATTTCCAAGGCGGGCTCTTCCCATTCTCTCTCCGGTTGCGTTTTCTACTTTCCTGTCAGGGGTGCTTTCCAAAACTTGGCTTCTGTTCCTTGTTCCCCTCCATCGCTTCCTTCTCGACCTGTTGTCTCAGGGTGCTCCAAAAGAGGCTTGTTTTGTCTGTGGCATCCCAGCCTCGAGGCACCTAAATACACCTTCTGGTAGTTTCGGTTTGTAAACCAGAAACCACGCAGTGTCTTGTCAGAGGATCTTGCCTGTCCTGTCTCGTGGCCTGAGGGCAGTGTCCCCTTGTTGTGTCTGGAAGCCACCCTGTCTGGCCCGGCTTTTCCTAGTGAATCCCCTGCCCTCATCGCTCCATGTGGGTCTGGCCATGTGGCCCTGCTATGGCAAGAAGCTGATTTCTGGATTTACCCCAGGAAGCAGCAACAGTGTCAGCCCTGGGACAGTGCGGCTTGGCTACCATTAGAGCGCAAAGAGGAGAAAGGAAAGGAGCGGGAAAGGGCAAGAGAGACCTGGGCGGGGGAGCCGGGGAGGCCATAATGAGGGACTTTTATGTCCTAGAATTCCCATGGTCACCTGGCTCCTGCAGGACCTTACAAGACTCCAGCTGGGACCCCAGGCCCATGTGGCTGCCCCTCACCAAGCCCAGGTAGGACTGTCACAGTGAGACCAGCATAGGGGACAATGAGATTCAAATAAATCTATAGGCTTTCATTTATTCTTTTGGAAAAAAAAGGTCTGAAGAAACTTTATAACAGGATAATGATCATTAAATTTGAGGAGATCAATACATAGATGTTACTTTTTTTGGTCCCTGTACGTTTTTTATATGTTTGCAAAAATTAAAAATCCCCATCATGTGAAAGAAGGGCCTGGGGGAGGCAGTATTGCACATTTGTAATCCTAGCATACAGGAGACTAAGGCAGGAGGATGGCAGGTTGAAACCCAATTCAGCGATTTAATGAGAACTTGTCTCAAAACAAAAACAAAACGAAACCTAGGCTGGGCCTGTAGCTCAGCATGAAGGCCTCGGGTTCAATCCCCAACACTGCAAAAATAACTAAGGAAGAGGGAAAGTCAAAGCAAAAAAGCAGCTGTTTACACTGGAAGCCAGGCTCTGCTCCTCCGGTGTGGAATAACCACCTGCTTCTCTCTCTCTGGACTTTATTTTGCCATCTGTGGCATGCGAAGTTTCCCAAGTTCCCCGCAACGATGTCCCCAGGCTGGGGATCGAGACACTGACCCTCCCTCTCGCCTCGGATTTCCTTCCAGCCCCCGGCACCATGCCCACGTCTGTGCTGTGGGCCGTGGACCTCTTCGGCAGGGTCTACACCCTGTCCACAGCTGGCCAGTACTGGGAGCTGTGCAGAGACACCCAGCTGGAGTTCAAGCGGGTCAGCGCGGCCACGCAGTGCTGCTGGGGCATTGCCTGTGACAACCAGGTCTACCTGTACATGTGCGCCAGCGACGTTTCCATCCGCTGCCGAGAGGAGGCCTATGAGAACCAGGTAACAGGCCTCCCCCACCCCGTCAGCAGGTGCTAAAGGGGTTGGGGTTAAATGACCTGAAGAACAGAATCGAGGCCCCAGCCTTGCCCCGCCCCCTTTCCCTCACCTGCACCTGGCCCAGCATTCAGCCTCGGGGCTGGAGCCCAAGGTGTGTCTTCGCCAGAGCAGACTGGCAGAGGGGCTGTGTAGTGCGGACTGTGGGTGTCCAGGCCCCGGGATGACTGAGCTGCCCCCTGCCTGTCCCTTTTGTAGCACTATGCTGTGGGTGGGTTTTCTATCCTTTGAGGCTGTGTTAATGCCCTGGAGTTTTTTCTCTCTCTCTCTCTCTCTCTCTCTCTCTCTCTCTCTCTCTCTCTTTGCTATACTGGGAATTGAACCCAGGGCCTTTGCATTAAGCTACCTCCCAGCCCTTTTTTTTTTTTTTTTTTTGTCTTTTTCCTTTTTATCGGTACCAGGGATCAAACTCACAACTGCCTGCTTTCAAGGCAGGCGCTTATGCCGCTGAGCTAAATCCCCAGCCCCTCCCCAGCCCTTTTTTATTTTGAGGCAGGCTTTCACAGAATTGCTAAGTTCTTCTGGCTGGGTTTGGCCTTGTGGTCCTCCTGCCTCAGTCTCCCAGAGTGATGGGATTATGGCATGTGCTAGCATGTCGTGCTTGCACTGGTTCTTGATGAAGTGACCTGAGGACCCTCCTGGCAGCCTCAGACCTAACACCATCTCTGTGTCCCTGGTCCCAGCGCTGGAACCCCATGGGTGGCTTCTGTGAGAAGCTCCTGCCGAGTGACCGCTGGGCGTGGAGCGACGTGAGTGGGCTCCAGCACCGGCCGCTGGATGGGGTGGCGCTGCCGTCCCCACACTGGGAGTGGGAGTCGGACTGGTACGTGGATGAGAATTTTGGAGGGGAACCCACCGAGAAAGGGGTAGGTAAACTCGGTACCCACCTTGTCTACCTTAGGAGGAGGGTCACCTTGTGCTCAGCCTGTCCCCTGGTGCTTCTGTCCCCAGCAGTGCCCTGGGGGGGTCTGACTTCTGCTTGCTGTGGGGTCGTGCATTCAGGTCCTGCTGTCACACTCCCGACGCCCTCTGTCCTCTTCCTCCCATCTTCGTGTCTCTCCCCCCAGAGCCTTATGGAGTCCCGTCCTTGGCATTTCAGGGATGGACCTATGCCATCGATTTCCCTGCCACCTACACAAGAGACAAGAAGTGGAACTCGTGTGTGCGGCGGCGGAAGTGGATCCGATACCGGAGATACAAGTCCCGGGATGCCTGGGCCAAGGTCTGTGTCTATGGGGACGCTGCACCTGCCCTAAGATCTGGTCTTTGAGTTCTGCTGTGGCTTCCAAAGAGAGGGGTGCTTAGACACTCACCTAACCTGTGTTCCTGGGCAGCGGCTGGGCTCTGCCAGGGCCCCCAGGCTCCAGAGAACAGAGTCGTAGCCGTCAGTCTTAGAAGCTGAGAACAGAAGCCCCATGGCTCATGTACCTGTCACATGGCCACTTCAGGACAGTACCTGAGCCTGGTGGCCTATAGAGAGGGCAATGCAGCGAGAGCCCATGGCTAGAATCCTGCATTCCTCTTCCCTCCTTCTTCCTGAGGTCAGGTTATGGGGGCCCAGCCCCAACTGAGGGGACATAGCATGGGCACCAGACCAGACAGTCACCAGGTCATGACAGCCACTGTTTGTCACTTACTCATTTCAGATCCCCTCAAAGGATGACGTCAAGGATCTGCCTGACCCCTTCAATGACCTCTCTGTGGGTGGTTGGGAGATCACAGAGGAGCCCGTGGGCCGCTTGTCAGTGTGGGCTGTGTCTCTGCAGGGAAAGGTAAGGCCACTGTCCTTAGGCCCTGGGTGCAAAGCAGCAAGGAAGCCTGACCACAGGCCAAGCAGGACAGGGGTCCCTGGGTGCAGGGAACAAGGCTGCCTGGAGACCTCTGCCTCCTATCCCTGGAGTAGGGACGTCCTGAAAGGCAATACCTTGCCAGGCTCCCCATGGGCCTCTTCCTATGTGTCCTGCTCCTCGGGCCTCTGGGTCCCACCCCTCTCAGAAGCCTCTGATCCCCCATCGCATGGCTGATCCTGGCCTACCTCTCTTGAGCATCCCCAGCTCAGATGCCATCCAGATGGCAGATCCTGGGCTCCCAGCCTGCTCTGTATGAGTGCCTCCTACAGTATCCAGAAGCATTGTGTGAGGGTAGGGATGGGGTGGTCAGATGGTTGGCAGGTAGATGGATGGGTGGATGGATGGTGGATGCATGTTTAATGGATGGGAGGGTATGGGGACAGTTGCTGTGTGGATGGATGAATAGGTGATGGGTTTATAGGTGGATGGATCATGTGTGGCTGGCTGGATAGAAGGGTAGGTGTGATGGATGGATGGATGGATGGTAGGGGTATGCACGGATATGGGTAGGTAGATGGTTATGTGGGTGGATAGACAGGTGTTGGCATGTGCATGAATAGATGGTAGATGGATACATGAATGATGCAAAGGTAGATGGATATAGGGTGGCTAGATAAACAGGTGTTAGGTGTGTGGCTAGATGAATGCATGGTGGGTGTATGCCCGGATGGTATGTAGGTAGATGGATATGTGAGTGGATAGACAAGTGTTGGGTGTGTGGATGGATGGATGCCACGTGTGAATGTTTAGAGAGAAGAGATCATTTTCTCAAAGACTCTGAACTATGTAAAAAGAATGAAGTTACCCCTGGTGGCAGCAGCAGCTCAGGGGACACAGCCCTCTCGCTGTGGTTTTAGAAGATACTTTACAATTGCTTGGTAGCTCCTACCACAAATTGACCACAAGCCTGCTGTGAGCTTCAGGCTTATCAGGGCAGGTTAATTTTAGCAGATTCACTTCCAGGGTTCCACCTGCTAGGACTCAGGTTAATCACAGGTGCTCTCTCTGTGCCATGCTGAAGGGTGGCAGAAGGGGTCAGCAGGGTGAGGTGCTGGCCTGGGACAGAGTCTCCTGTCAAGGAGCCTTGTCCATCTGGATGCAGAGGGGGGAGGACAGGGCCACAGCAGCGTTCGTGTTCTCCAAGTGCCAGCACCACTCCTGTGATCCTTAAGAAGTGGCACCAGGACCCTGCGCTCCAGGAACCAAGGAGACAGCATTCAGTGAAGCCACTTGGTACCAGGAAGGAGGCTTCCAGGCCTGACTAGTGGGCCTGACTAGTGACTTGTAAGGGTGGGTTGGCAGAATGGGGATGCCAAGATTCCCAGTCTGAAGACTCAAACGGCTCACCAGCCCTGCCTGGACCGTGCAGCCTCTTCCTGATGAAATAAGCCAAAGCCTGCATGATATGAGAGCATTGTGCAGTCTTAGCTATTTAGGTTAAAGAGTAAAAGAAGTGAACAGTTTAGACTTTGGTATGAATGAGGCTTGGGGATTTCCCTCCAGTACCCCATCCCTACCCCCCACTTGTACACCCCTACCCCTAGAGAATGGGTGTACTGAGGGCACATCACCATTAGGGGGCGCAGGTCACATGGGCTGGCTAGGAGCCCTGGGCTCCTCTGCTGGAGGCTGGAGTTGTACATGGTTGGCTGGTGTCTTGGGGCCTGTTAGCTGCAGGCAAATAGGGCAGGTGAGGACTGAGTGAGTGATCTGCACACTGGGGTACCTAGAGATCCCCCATACAACTGTTCAGATGAACTAATAGGCCACACACGGGTGTCATACCCTTCTGTCATTTCCCAGGTGTGGTACAGGGAGGATGTCAGCCACCCCAACCCGGAAGGGTCATCATGGTCTCTGGTGGACACGCCCGGGGAGGCTGTCCAGATCAGTTGCGGGCCCCATGACCTCCTGTGGGTCACCCTCTGGGAGGGGCAAGCCTTGGTCCGGGAAGGGATCAACAGGAACAACCCCAAAGGTGGGTGACCCTGCCTTGGGGGAGGTGGGAAGCCACCTCCAAGGATCTTGGCTGATGCAGCTTCCTGGGGTGTTGGGGGGCTGCCAGGCAGTTCGTGGTCCGTGGTGGAGCCTCCTGGGTCTGAGAACGGGATCATGCACGTCTCGGCTGGAGTGAGCGTGGTCTGGGCTGTCACCAAGGACCGGAAAGTAAGATGGGGATGCTGGAGCCTGGGGGTAGCTCTGCAGGTGCCACTTAATGTTGGGGTTCTGTTCTTGTGAGAATAGTCTGAATTCTTTGTAATAAATCTGGCATCTGTCAAGCACTGTGAGCTTTTGTGCTATTGAAATCAGCACCCAGGTCCAGGACGTTTGATGCTATGGTCTCTCCCTTCCCTCACACCCAAGTACCAAACTGCAGAGCAACTGTGTTAGGCAAAACATTTCAGATAATCAGACGCTAATTTGCTGAAACCCTTAGTTAAATGCCTCTTCTTTCCTTTACTCAGTGCTTATGTTTGTATCTTCATGTGTTACTGGTGATTGAACCCAGGACCTTCACGCTGAACTACACATCCAGCTCTGTCTTAATTGTTTTTAAAACTTCTTAAAGTTTTGGGGACAAAGTTTTGTCAAATCACTAAATTGCCCAGGCTGGGCTTGAACTTGTGATGTTTCTGCCTCAGCCTTCCAGTATGAGCCACCATTTGCATTTCTGTCTCAAAAGTAGGTTTAAGATTAGCCAATTCCAGGCTGATTTCATGATTTTTTTCTAACCTCATGTCAGGGAGCTCCCTGGCACCCAAGAGGATCAGTGCTCACACACCTGAGTCTGTATCACCAAGGCCCATAGGCCCAAAGCCTCAGGCCACATCCAGCCTGACAAATATGTTCCCCTGCCCTCTAGAGAGTTCCAGGCACCCCACTTCTCAAAGATAGTGATTGCCAGCCTCCTTGTATAGCAACATGTCTATCCCTTTGGCTTAAATAACAAAAATTTGATTTGCATGTATGTTTGCTCAGTCTTCAAATATTTGATATGTTCACATTCTTTGGGTTTAGGAGACACATTTTAGAGTTTTAGGGTTTGTTTGTTTGTTCTGAGACGAGGTCTAGCTGTGTTGCTCAGGATGGCCTTGGATTCCCAGGCTCAAGCAGTCCTCCTGCCTCAGCTTCCTGATTATCTGGGACTTCAGGTGCATGATACCACAATACCCAGCTTTCTAGAAATGTTTATAAGAGGGATTTGAGTTTTCTCATTAACTGACCCCTCAGGCAGTACACCTTAGAAATTCAGCATGAGTGCTGATTCACCAGAATCCCAGGGGACCCAGGGCAGCCCACCCTCCAGAATGGGTGGAGGCAGCCCTGGGGAACAATAGGGGCCAGCCACTACCACCAGATGAGCCTTGGAGCCACAGGTAAGCCTGGGGAAAATTTAATTGGATGGTGTATAGTTTTACAAACTGACATTAAGGAGACAATTTCATAAAGCATTATAAACCCCAAATAGGTCCTTTATTCTAATAAACAGTTTATACATTTCCTAGATAAGCCCTCTAAGGCTGTTGTCATACAGAGAGGACAGTTTGAAGGAAATGATCTTTTCCACATATCGGATTAGGGACCGATGTGGCTGAGGGCAGGTGACTCTTAGCTGGAGCACAGACAAGGATGTGAGAAGATGGACATGCACTGGCCCTGCTCACCTACAGTGTGAGCCAGTTATTATTACTCAATTGTTCTTTCTGAGCCCTGAAGAAGCCCCTTATTAGCTGGATATAGTGGTGCATACCTATAATTCCAGCACCCTGGGAGGACTGCAGGAGGACTGCAAGTTCAAACCCAGTCTGGGCAACTTAGAGCCTTAGCAAGATCCTGTCTCAAAATAAAAATATAAAATAAAGGGCTGGGGGTGTAGCTCTGTGGGAAGGCTCTGGGTTTTATCCCCCATATGGCAATCAATCAATCAATAAAAAGGAAACGGGGGAGCCCTGTTTCTGTGGCCTTCAGGGAAATGTGTTCATTGCTGGCTTTTCCAGGTGTGGTTCCGAAGAGGCGTCAACTCACACAATCCCGGTGGCACCAGCTGGATCGAGATGGTTGGGGAAATGACGATGGTGAACGTGGGGCTAAATGACCAGGTGGGCTGTGACTCCCAGGGCACCCACTGTCCCTTCCCAGTGGCAGGGCTCCTTGCCTTGGAGAGCACCCAGCAGGCTGCTCCTGCCAGGGTCTGCAGCCTCGCCTTGTCCCTGGGTGTTTTCCTAAGGGTTCTTACTCAGAGTAGTGAGCACAGATCTGCTGGTGGGAGTCGGGGGACTATATCTGCAGACTGGCAGGTGTCACAGAGACACGTGAAGGTGGTTGAAAAATACCATTTATGGCTGAATGTGGTGGTGCATGCCTGTAATCCCACCGCTTGGGAGGCTGAGGTAGGAGACTGCCGTGAGTTTGAGGCCAGTCTGGGCTGCATAGTGAGATCCTGTCTTAAAAAAAAAATGCCACGTTATGTTTAAATTTAAGAATTTATTACAGTAAAAAACACCTTGGGCTGGGAATTTAGCTTAGTGTCATAAGCGCCTGCCTGGCAAGTGTGAGGTCATGAGTTCGATCCCTGGTATTGCAAAAAAAAAAAGACATCTTGCCATTAAGTCCCTCAAAATCTTCCCCCTCACTCACAGTACTTGGCCTGTATCGTCCTTGCCACTGCCTAAAGTAGCTCTGGAAGTCCTCTCTCATGACATTTTTAGTTGTGCTGTTGTGGCTACCTCAGTGTCCTGAACTGAATCAAAATGTTCTCCTTTCATGGTCATTTTGACTTTGGAGAAGGAGATAGAAATTGCACAATGCCAGACCTGGTGAACAGGGTGGTGAGCTCTTGCTGCCATGTTTTGGTGAGCCTGCCTTTCCATCGGCTGGCACTTGGCAGCAGCATTTGTCATGTTTGTTATTACATCTTATAATAGAGAGGACTTCCAGAACTGCTTTGGAAAGTACCAAGAGAGATGGATAAGTGTGTTCAAAGTGAGGGGAAGTAACTTGAGGGGGACTCATGGCAGTATGTCTTTCTCTGTAACAAGTTTTCTTTAAAAGAAAAAAAAAATTAAACATTCACCATATTTTTTGATTAATCCTTGTACTTGGAGTAGTCATCAGGGGTGGAACTGGTTTCCTGACTCTGTGGTGCCACTTCTCGTAAGTGGCACTCTATAGTTTGACAATGTGGCCTCCTTCCTGTAGGTATAGAGGTTTGGGTACTGTGCAAGCTCAAGGGTTGCAGCCCCTTGCTGTGACAGTGACACCCCCAGTGCTCTATGCCTGGGGCACATTTGTTCCCCTGAGGAGCAGCTTCCCAGAAGCCACAGGGAAGACAGGGACACAGGTGGACCTTGCATCCCAGTGCAGTGTCCATCCACCTACTTCCTCCTCCGAGTCTGCCTGACATCAGGGAACCAGGCCGGGGAGTGCCACTGACCTCTCAGCGCTAGCACACAATCACACCCACTTTCACACCTGACTGCATGGCATGGGGGCTCCTCCTGGTTTGCAGTTTTCCTCCAGCCCTGCTGGACACCTGCTTTCCCTCTGCCTCCCCAGTAAGACTCAGGAGCCCCAGGTCTGCACCAGCCTTCCCTGAGCAGTACCTCTCTCTGTCCCAGGTCTGGGGCATCGGTGCTGAGGAGCGAGCTGTATACTTCCGGCAGGGCGTCACCCCAAGTGAGCTCAGTGGCAAGACCTGGAAAGCCATCGTCGCAGGCAGAGAGAGTGACAGATCGCACACTGGCAGCTCGTCGAGCCTTCTCAGGTGACCTGGAGCAGCAGGGCAGAGTAGTTGTGGGCGGAGACAGGCTGTTTGTGGTCTCTGAAGGGTGCTGGCCTTCATCAATCCCCAAGCCTACAGGGCCCCCAGTGCTGTAGCCTCAGCTCAGAGCCTGGCGTGTGGCCTGGCTACTCAGCCCTGCAGAGGAACCTGCAGGGTCAGTCAAGAGACCGAACAGAGGCGTCTTTAGACACTGGGCCATGGCAGTGTGTCACACTGGAGAGCAGGCTGGAACTATGACCGGAACCAGGTCTGGCCCACTGGTTCTAAGGGCTCAGGCTCAGGGGTAAAGCACCATCTCTGAGGGGCAGATGCTAAGTCCCCATGGGAGGCACTTGGAAACCAGACAGAGGCCTCTTGTGGTATGATCACAGACTGGGCATTCCCTGCAGTATACTGGGGGGCCTCAGGCTCAGACAGATCTCCAGGTCCTACCTGAGCCTTTGGTGGGATTTTGGGTTTCTCATGAGGTCTCTGGTGATGCGGCTGCTGCTGCAATTCTGGGGACCATACTTTGGGGTACTTGGGTCCAGGATTGTGAAGAAGTCCCAGCTGTGCTCCAGCCATATGACCACAGGCAGGTGGCCGAATGTCCAAGCTGGGGAAACTTTGTTGCTACCATGGGAGTGCCCACAGCTCTGAGCCCTGATCAGGAGTGTCCCCTCTAACTCAGTCTTCCCCAATCCCTGGTGCCCACCCCCAAAGCTTGGCTGCCATCCCTACCCCAGGTTCAATCTCCTTCACTGCTGGTTGTCACATTGGATCAGTTGACAGGCTGCAAAAACTTCTGATGCCACATCTTGTCCTTGGATTTGGCCGTGGTTTCTCAGATATGACACCAAAGGCACTGTCACTTTCTGTACAGTATTAAATTGTGTGAGATAGTCAACACTTTAGTGTAAGATACTTTTCACACTAGGTGATTTTGCCCAGCTGATCTGTGAGTGCTCTGAGCACATTTAAGGTAGGTTGGGCAGAGCTGTGATGTGCAGTACATGAGGTATATTAAGTGCTGTGTGTGTGTGTGTGGTACTAGGGATTGAACTCAGACCTTTTTCACTGAACTACAGTCTTAGTAAATTTTTTTTGGTCCTGGGGATTGAACTCACAACCTTGCGTTTGCCAAGCAGGCACTTATGCCACTGAGCTAAACCCCCAGCCCTTCCTTAGTAAATTCTGAGACAAGGTCTTGCTACGTTGCTAAGCTGCCCAGGCTAGGTTCAAATTTGCAATCAGTGTGATGGGATTATAGACATGTATGTCTGGCTTTTAAATGTACTGTTACCTTACAGTATTTTCAATTTATGATGGGTCAATCAGACCACAATCTAATTATAAACCAAGGAATATCTGCACAGATAATTGAACTTCATTAAAATGAAGTATTTGAAGGCCAGGAATAGTAATGCATGACCATGATCCCAGCTACTTGGAGGCTAAAGCAGAGAAGGCCAGGCTGGGCAGTTTAACAAGACCATGTCTCAAAATAAAGACTGGAATACAGCTCAGCGCTGCAAAAACTACAAAAAAAAAAAAAAAAAAAAAAAAAAAAAACCTTTTGTAAATCAAAAGACACTGTCAAGAGAATGAAGAGATAACTAATGCAATGAGGAAAATATCTGCAGGACATAAGATGAGAGCCTCATAGTTGGTACATACTGAAAAATGTCTTTCAACTCAACAAGAAAACAACGCGTTTAAAAAGGGGTAAGGTGTGGCTGGGGATTTAGCTCACCTTGCATAAGCGCTTGCTTTGCAAGCAGGCAGTCGTGAGTTCGATCCCTGGTACCAATTAAAAACAAACCCAAAACAAACAAAAAAAGGGGTAAGGTGTGAATAGGTGTTTTTCTCAAGATACACAAAAAACCAAAAGCACGTCCGTACAAGGACGTTCAGCATCATTAGTCATTTGGGAAATGCAAATTGAAACCTCATTCAGAGACTGTGTCTTCCTCCCCAGAAGGGCTGACTCAGAAAACAGAAGTGTTAGTGAGGCTTTGTAGAAATGCAAACCCTCCCAAGTTGCTGGTGAGAGTGTAAGGTGGGTCAGGCACTGGGGAAAACAATTTCCCCAGTGGTTCATAAAGTAAAATTTTTGTTGATGAAAGGAATGAGATGCTGATCTACAATATGATGTAGTTGACCCTTAAGAAACTATGCTAAATCATACATAGTATCACTTGCCTGCACTCCCAGGACTTGAGAGGCTGAGGCAGGAGGATCACAAGAGTAAGGCCAGCCTAGGCTATGTAGCAAGACCCTACCTCAAAACAGAAAAAACTATTATGCTAAGTGAAAGTAGCCACGCACGGAAGGCCACACATTGATTCCATGATTCCAGTTAATGTGCAATGTCTCATTAGGCAAATCCATAGTGACAGAAAGTAAATTGGTGTTTTTTAGAGGAGCTGGGGGTGAGGAAGTGGAGGATGAGGGCAGTGACTCTGTGGGTACTAGGTTTCCATTTGGGTGATGAAACTGCTGTGGCAGTCGACAGTGGTGGTGACTACACAATTCTTAGTGTGCAAAAGCCCGAGGAACATGCTTTACAATGGTTTACATGGTCAGCTTCATGTCATGTGTACTTAGTGAAGAATTCCAAGTCAGACTCAGGCATGGTGGCACACACTGGTAAGCACTGTGGAGCCTGAGGCAGGAGGATGGAATGTTTGAACCCAGTATGGGGAACGTAATGACTTAGGAAGACTCTGTCTCAAACAAACAAACAAATTGCTGGAGATGTGGCTCAGTGCCAAGGCCCTGGATTCAATCTCCAGTACTACAAAAACAAAAATGAAAAGAGTCCTAGGTCACCATAGCCAGGCACATTGCTATGATGCTCTGGGGTGTGGCCTGGGTGTTCTGGCCCCTGGGAAAGCGCATATCCACCTGTGCAGAGGAGACAGGAGCTCAGAGAGATTGTGATGCGTCCCAAATTGCATGGATGGTCCCAGTAGCCACATACGTCCTGCAGGAAAGAATGACAGTCTACCCTGTTCTGTCCCCAGCGCTGGCTGCTTCTTTGGTGATGAGGTGAAGGGCAATAGCGAGTCTGCACCCAGCGACACTGACACCACCTCCGAAGCAGAGAGATCCGGGCCTGAGCACTCTGCCCCTCAAGAGCCTCTGGACAGTTCCAGGGACCACAAAGACAACTCAGCCCTGGGCCCTGAGACTGAAGGGACTGCAGAGTGTATCTTAGAGAACACCTGTCCTGATGTAGAAGGAAAGGAGGCCGCTCAGGCCTCTGTCACCAGTGAGCACCCCAACCTGGCCTCCGCCCCGGCTGAGCTACCCTGGACCAATATTGACCTGAAGGAGCCCAGGAAGGTGCCCAGCCACTCTGCTGCAGGCTTTGCTGAGACTGTGGGCCTCTCCTCCCTAGGGCTTTTCCCTCTAGGCCTGGATGAGCCCTTTGGGGCGGATGACCACCCACTGTGGGCCTGGGTGTCCGGGGGTGGCTGTGCAGTGGAGGCTGGTTCTGCGCTCAAGTGGTTCACTGTCCAGTCGGGTAAGGGGCCCTGCAGGGCCAGGTGTCCACAGAGGTGGTCTTGTGGAACATGGGGCATGACCTGAGGTGGGGTTGGGAGGGTGGCACTGATCCGCTGACCAAAACCTTGGGCCAGTGTGCAACCCTGGTCACAACCCTCTCCCTGTCCTGGCACTGGTGGTAGTTTTCTAGGCTGAATTGTTAGGCTGGCAACTTGTTCATCAGGGTGACTCCAAGGGGACAATGCACAGGACATTCAGTAGAAGTTGAGGCTATCTAACAAGCAAGCCCGACATCTAGTTAAGTGGCACATGCCTGTAAGCCCAGCACTTGGGAGGCTCATGCAGGAGGATCACAAGTTTAATTTAGCAAGACCCTGTCTCAAATCATAGTAAGGGCAAGGGCTGGGGATTTAGCTCAGTGGCACAAGCACCTGCCTGGCAAGGGCAAGGTTGTGAGTTCAATCCCCAGCACCAAAAATAAAAAAAAAAATATGGGAAGGAAAGTTACAAGGTGATTGTGATGATAACAAAAATTAGTTAGGGCTGGGAAAGCAGCTTCAGGGGAAGGTCCGGATTCCACCTCGAGTAGTGCAAACAAAATAGGGGTGGGGTGGGGAGAGCAAGCTCTGGCCTCCGCCCAGGTGCAGGCAGGCCAACACCTGGCCCTGAGGCTCTGGCCTCCTGCAGGCCTGTCTCCCTCAGTGCAGACCCTGTCCCTGTCCATCTCACCGGCCCAGACTGCCGCCTGGAGGAAGCAGATCTTCCAGCAGCTCACAGAGAGGACCAAGCGGGAGCTGGAGAACTTCAGGCACTATGAGCAAGCTGTGGAGCAGGTGGGTGCCCAGCTGTCCCCGAGCCCAGGCATTTACCGAGCACCTGCTATGTACCAGCTCTGAGCTGGGGAGAAGGGGCACACAGCAGCATCCTTGCCTTAAAGATGAGGAAATGGGCTCATTCACCGATGCAGCCATCTTGAAAATCTGTTGAGGCACCAGAGGGCCTCAAGACCTGGAGAGGGCAGCAGTGTCCTAGGAGGTGGGCAGGGAAGGCAGTGGTGAAGCACCTTATCCTGTCTCTGTCTGAGGCCACTTCATCCTGATCCTGCTGAGGTTTGTTGAAATGAGTCAGGATGGAGTGGCTGGTGATCCCGGCCATCCCCAAGGTACAGCTTGTGCCACCCGAAGCAGAACCCCAACCCTGGAGGCCACCATCAGCCTGGGGAGCTGGATCCCAGGAGCCTGGCTCCCCTCCAAAGCCTTGGCCTAGGCTGGGGCAGTCAGGCTGGAGTCTCGGTTCCTCTCTGACGCTCAGCCAGTTTTGGCTCGCACTGGATGTGTGATACAGAGGAGGTGATGCAGGGACAGCTTTGGCTCACTCCAGAGCCTGACATTCATGGAGCAGGGTATTGGAACCGGGCAGCTCTGGGGTGTGAAAATGGGACTGGGCGTGCAGGGCCGGGGGCCTGCAGTAACAGTGTCCCCATGGCTTTGGCACTGGCTGCAGTCTGTGTGGGTGAAGACCGGAACCCTGCAGTGGTGGTGCGATTGGAAGCCCCACAAGTGGGTGGATGTCCGCGTGGCTCTGGAGCAGTTCACCGGCCACGACGGGGCCCGTGACAGCATCCTCTTCGTCTACTACATAGTCCATGAGGAGAAGAAGGTATGGAAGGGGGCAGGGAGCTCGGTCAGTGGGATGGGAATTACTGGAGATGGGACACAGGCAGGGCATGGAAGCCCTGGCTCCAGAGTCTGTGTGTAATTTACAAAGTTCTCTCCTCCACCATGCTTGTCCAGAGCCACCTGCCCTCCCACTGCTGCATGTAGATGCTTGGTTTTGGTTTTGGTTTGGTTTTTCATTTGTGTTCTGAGACAAGAGTCTTGCTATATAGTTCAGACTGGCCTTGAAATTATGGTGATCCTCCTGCCTCAGCCTCCTGAGTACTGGTATTAGGTAGGTGCCACCATGCCTGGTCAAGCCTAGTTTTTGAGATAAGACATCAGGCTCAAGAAGATGGTGTTGTCACCTCCCAGCAGCTGGCATGTCACAGGCAGTTCATGTCAAAAGCATTTCTTTAAAATGTCATGAGGAGCTGGGGATTTAGCTCAGTGGCATAAGCGCCTGCCTTGCAAGCCTGTGGTCCAGAGTTCAATCCCTGGTACCGGTAAAAATACAAAAAAAAAGAATGTCATGAGGAAGCTGAACATGGTGGCACATGCCTATAATGTCAGCACTCTGGAGGATTAAGGGTTTAAACCCAGCCTGGACAATTTAGCAACTGAGGGAGATCCTGTCTCAAAAATTAAAACAGGGCTGGGGATGTAGTTCAGTGCAAAGGCCCCAGTACTGCCCCCCTCCCAAATGTCCTGAAGCCATTTGCTCACAAAGTACAGTTTCAGTGTTGGCACTTGCTCTGCCTAGTGGCCACATGTGATTCTGGCAGGGTGACAGCCCTGCCAATTGTGCCTTTTCAAATAGTACTTCCACGTGTTCCTCAACGAGGTGACGGTGCTGGTCCCAGTGCTTAACGAGGCCAAGCACTCCTTTGCCCTGTACACCGCAGAGAGGACTCGGCAGAGGTGGCCTGTGCGCCTGGCCGCTGCCACGGAGCAGGACATGAACGACTGGGTAAGTGAGTGGTGGCCCCAAGGGCTGGGGCAGGGAGCACAGCTGTGGCCTGCCCAGCAGTGACCAGCTGTGTACCCACACCAGCTCGCTCTGCTCAGCCTGAGCTGCTGTGAGAGCCGGAAGATCCACGGCCGCCCATCCCCGCAGGCCATCTGGTCTGTCACCTGCAAGGGAGACATCTTTGTGAGTGAGCCCAGCTCAGACCTGGAGGCCCAGGACCACCTGCTGCCCTGTGACCAGATGTGAGTAGACAGTGGCCTCTCCTGTCCCCCGTGCCTGCGGCCGATGCTGCAGAGCCCCCCCCCCCCCCCACGCCTGGCCTGTACCGCACAGGTGCCAAGTGCACACAGGGCCGGTTTCCTAGCCCTCCACACGCCCACTCAATTGAGTGGGATGGGCAGGATGTCAGGGGGGCACGCAGTGCTGTGAGCAGGCTCCGTCCCCACCCAGGGGCTCGTGGCCAGAGTCTGCATCGCTCCCCTGTCCCAGAACTCAGCCTGGAGCTCAGGTGCCCCGCTGCTGCTGAGCCTGCAGCACAGGGCTACGCAGGCGGTGAGGAGAGGGAGGAGTCACTTGTGTTTCCAGGGAAGGGTGGGCAGCAGAGCAGCGTGGGGGCAGATGCAGACTTGGTGGCTACAAGGGCAGCGCTGCTTTAGACACAGTAGAGGCCAGACCTCGAGCTTGGATTGCTCAGTTGGGGCATTTAAAGCTCCTAAGGGAAGCAGGTGTGTTCATGTACACTGGCAACCCCAACACCCTGGTAGGCTGATGCGGGAGGATGGCAAGTTTGTGTCCACCCGGAAACCTAGAGATACTCTGTCTCAAAATGGATGGGGATTTAGCTCAGTGGCACAAGCGCCTGCCTGGCAAACATGAGGTTGCGAGTTTGATCCCTGGTACTCCCCCACCAATGGATAGAGTGGGGCTTGGCGCGTAGCTCTCCAAAGCACCATGATCTCCAATAGCGCAAAAAGAAAGACTAAAAAGACTCTAGCGGGATTGAGGTAGCCTGAGGGGACTGGTGTGAACAGAGCCCTGAGGAGGATGCGCAGGGGCACGGCCTGGTGAGGCTGGGGTTGAAATCAAGTCCTGGAACCCCATCACCCCCAGCCTTCAGTGGAGAAAGGGATCACACATTCACTGAGCCATGTGCGCCTGGCGCCCTCTGGTGACAGGGACGTGGCCTCAGCCCGCAGGAAGCTGACCCAGCCCTCTGCTTGACAGGCTGCAGTGTCACACCCTCCGATGCTCATGTAAAGGATTAAACAGCATGTTCCTGCCCTGCCACCACACTGTTTCATTCCAGTACTGGGGACTGAATACAGGCCTTCTTGCTCAGCTTCATCCCCAGCTCTTTTTTAGAAATATTTTTGACGGGGTCTTGCTAAGTCAATAAATTGCCCAGGCTGGGCAGCCTGACCTTGCTCCTCTCTCCTGTCTCGGCCTCCCACAGAGCTGGGATTATACGTGTGTGCCACTGTGCCTGGTTCTGCCACCACATTCAGGCTCCTGTACCTGTCACTGGGTGGACTGCCCAGTCGCATGTTGCAGCCTCCATGGGGCAATGCAAGCCGTTGCTGACCCCTGTCCCTGGTCAGCATAGCTCAGGGATAGGGGGCAGGCTGCTGAGCACTGCCTGCCTGGTACTGAGATCCTGCCTGCCACACACTGCTTCTCAGCCCTCGCAGCGTTGACTAACACACAAGGGAGGCCAGGCAGGTCACGGGTACGTCTGGTCTGGAGCTCTGGAGTGCAGAATACCTTGTCTGTGGAGGCTGCAGACAGTTACCCCAAGAGGGTAGCAGGTTGGTGGCCAGGCTGAGGTGTCTGTCCTGCTCCCCGCTCCCGGCCCCCCAGGTTCTGGCGGCAAATGGGAGGTCACCTGCGGATGGTGGAAGCCAACAGCCGCGGCGTGGTGTGGGGCATCGGCTACGACCACACGGCCTGGGTGTACACAGGCGGCTATGGTGGAGGCTGCTTCCAAGGTGAGCCTGGCCTTGTGCTCCTCTCTCTAATCCCCTGCCCGACACTGGGGCCTCTGGCCCAGCACTGACACTTGACTTCAACAGCTGGCTGACAGGTGACCTTTACCACTGCCAGCCTGCACAGAAGGACACTTCCTGGCCAACGCACGAGGCAGAGGAGCCCAGAGACCAGACCTCACCTCTGGGGTGCCCTCTGGGAACTCAGCAGTGTGGCTGTGGACTATGAATATTCTAGAAGGCAGCTTCTGGGGTCTTATAATACAGTCAGCCCATTTCACACACAAGGGCTTGGGGTGGATTTGACTGGACCCAGGACCCAGCTCCGGATTCCATGGCCCAAACTCTAGCATTGCACCTTGGGAATGGGGGATTACTGAGCCTCCCAAGGGATCCCCAAGTTTTGGGAGCAGAGTAGAAGGTGGAAGCAGAAGCAATGCTGAAAGGACATTCTGTACCCCTTGTGGACCCCGTGCCCCATGATGGGAAGCAGCTAACACTTGCACTGTGGTCACTAAGACCGCAGGACTCACATCTGCATGGGCTTGACGGCTCCTCTGTGTCCATTTACATGAAGGAAACTGGGGCTCATAGAGGTTGTGTGCATGCACTAAGGTACCTTTCAGGACAAGGGGTGAGCGGGGTGCTTCACACCTGCCTGCTTCTGAGTGAAGGGGATGCCTGAGATGGGGTGTGTAGGTGGTGGCCTGGGAGGTCTGGTGTGCAGCAGATTCTTCCCATCAGGGTCCAAAATAATGGCCATGGTGGGGCAGGGGAGGCGACCCTAGCCAGGCCAGGCCCTTGCAGATGAGCTTCACACACCTGCTCCCCACCTCAGCTGCCCTGGCTCCAGCCACACTTCCACCTGTTTTCTGCAGGCTTTGGGGCTCCAGAGGTCAAAGCAGGGCCCCAGGCCAGTGTGGAGTCCCAGGCTGCCCGCAGGGCCCCAGGGCTGGCATAGCCTCCATCCCAGGGGCCTTGTCTCCTTCTAGGCCTGGCCAGCAGCACTAGCAACATCTACACACAGTCAGATGTGAAGAGCATCTGCATCTATGAGAACCAGCGCTGGAACCCCGTCACGGGCTACACCAGCAGGTGAGGGCTCTGGTGGCTGGCCGGGGCCACCTGGCCTAGGAGCAGCTTGTTCTCTCCCCTTTCTATCTCCCTCTCTCTTTTTCTCCTTCTCCCTCTCCCTCCTCTCCTTTCCTTTCCCCACCTCTCTCCTCTTTTCTCATTATTATATTGAGGGGTTGAACTCAAGGTCTTCACGCTGAGCTACATCCCAGTCCTTTTTTACTCTTTATGTTGAGACAGGGTCTTGCTAAATTCAAACTTGCAGTCTTTCTGCCTCAGCCTCTCAGTGCCCTACACACGTGGTGGCTTTGCTTGGGATTTCTAGCGGGAGGGTGGCAGTGCTAAGGCCACGCCTCCTGTTTGGTGATTTAGGTTTTCTCTCTTGGTGTGACTTTTGATGTTTAAATGTATTTAGTCCAGTTGCTCAGTCTTTTTTCTTTTTTTGCCTTCATTTACGTGTGTGTGTGTGTGTGTGTGTATACGCTGGGGCTAGAACTCTAGGTGAGCATTCTACCACTGAACTACACCTCAGCCCTTATTTATTTTATTTCAAGGCAGTGTCTAAGTTGCCCGAATTTCGATCCTCCTGCCTCAGCCTCCCACTGGGATTATAGACATATACCACCCCTTTTTATCATTTTCTTTATGTAAAGTCAGAGGACTTTTTAAAAGCCCCTTTGAGAAATAATTTTCAGCTGTCCCAAAATGTTAGTCTTCTTTTGGTCTTTTCAGATGTTCAAAAATGTAAAAACCATCCTTACGTTGTAGCTCTGTATCAGAAGAGGCAGAGTACCTGCTGACACCGAGGGTCATCCTTTGTCCACCCTGCTCTACAGGTTTTGGCCCTCCACCTGTGATGTCAGGCTGGACCTAATCAATGTGTTACTCAAAGGCCAACTGTTTTGGCTTTAGGTTTCTATTTACTTATTTTGAGTTAGTATGATTGTATTTTTTCAAATGTACATTTTCAAATGTCCATGTGTCTTCCTGCATTTTCACTAGCACGTGGGCCACTTCCATCCTGGGTGTCACAACTGTGAACCGGTTGCTTGAACTCTGCTTGGAAGTCAGCTGACCCATCCAGCCATCTGCCATCTGCTATCTAACTGTCATCATCATTTTTTCTTTTCTCCTCTGCTTTTTTTTTTTTTTATGTTAAGCTATCTCCTTTAAATTTTTTTTTTTTTTTAATTTTTAAGACAGGGTCTCAACTAAATCATGCAGGCTCGGCTCAAACTTTTGATATTTCTGGTAATCCCAGAGTACTGGGATTAGGAAGCCAGTATTCAAACCCTAACACCAGGAAAAGAGAGGTCCAGAATGATGGCCACAGACTGCCATGACCTCAGTAGACAGCTCAGTTCTTAGGGCCTGGGCACCATGGTAATATGGGGTAGCCCCAGTTGGTGTTCCTGTTCTGGGGGGTTTTGTGTTTACATTTGACCCCAGTAAGCAAGCCACTCGGGAGACTGCTTTTTGTGGGGCTGGAGTTCAGACCTGTTCCCTCAGGCCCTCCCAGGAATGGGGTACAAATCCGCTACCAGGGCTTTCTGGGGTGGGTGCTGCTCTCGGTCCCCAATGTCACCCCGTGCCTGTCGTCCTGCTGCAGGGGCCTACCCACTGACCGGTACATGTGGAGCGATGCCACAGGGCTGCAGGAGTGCACTAAGGCCAGCACAAAGCCCCCGTCCCTACAGTGGACCTGGGTAAGCCCTCCTGTCCTGTAGTAATCCCCTGGTTTTTGACTGATAGGGGGACATGGGGTCCCCATTCTCACTGACTTATCCCTTCCCAGGTTTCAGACTGGTATGTGGACTTCAGCGTTCCTGGTGGCACAGATCAGGAGGGGTGGCAGTATGCCAGTGACTTCCCTGCGTGAGTATCTCTGTCTTGGGCTTCATGGGCCAGGTCCCCAAGCACTAGGACCCTCTAGACTCCCAACTCAGCTCATGCAGGGCTGGAGTAGGAGGCCAAGGGGCTCAGTAAACAGGCAGAGGCAGCAGCATGTGGCTCCCTCAGCACTGGCTTTGTCCCTGCTGTGCCAGGCCTAAAGGTTCTAGAACATTCTGGAAGGATCTGGTGTCCCAGGCTGAGGGGTTCCAAGAGGGTGAAGAGGCTTAGCACATCTGAACTGGAGGACCTGGAGGTGGTCTGAAGCCAGGTTCTGAATGACTGGTGGTGTGGGCAGCCTAAAGGAGGATGTCGGGGGAAAGGGGACAGCACAAGCCCCTTGGAGCAAGGCTGGCACCATCTTGGGAGGCCGGAATATGTAGGCAGGTAGGAAAATGGATCAGTGTCAGAAGAGCCGAGCCAGGACCCAAGTGACTTCCCACCAGACCCAGCTGGGAGGCAGAGGCCAGCCCCAGAGTGAGAGCTGTGTCTCAGCCTCAGACCCTTGGCTACAGAGGGCTCCTGTTCTCCAAAAGGGCTCTGACGGGGTTTGGGGAGGCAAGGGGCCCAGAGCTCCCGAGCTGGACCTGCTGCATGGAAGGGAGGCTGTAGCTACCAGGTCCTTGTGTTACAGAGTGGTTTCTTTAGAAATGGTTGCTAACTAAAAAGTATTCCATGACCTTGCCTCAAACAAAGGACTGGACAAGACAAGCCCAAAATGGTGTTAAACATTTACTTGAAGAGTATGGGATAGCCAGGTGTGGTGGTGCACGCCTGTACTCTCAGCACTTGGGAGGCTGAGGCAGGTGGATCCTTGTGAGTTTGAGACCAGCCTGGGCTACAAAGTGAGTTCAAGGCCAGCCTGAACAGCATAGCGAGACCGTCTCAAAAAAAAAAAAAAAAAAAAAAGGAAAAAAAATAGGATAAATGGATATAGGGGAAACCAGCTCTGCAGAGGGAACTTAGGCTGAACAAGGAGAAAAAAAGGGTAAACACAAAAATAAAAGTGCATTTCAGTCCCTGAGGAACGCATGTAGAACCTCAAGACAGTAGCGGCTAGCGGGTCTTCTTTTATGCCTTGTACATCTCATGGGGGCTCCCAAGAAGTCCTATATACAGGGCTCTTGCATTGCCCTGGGGTCTCATAATTGACAGGTCCTGCTCATCCCCTCCCCGCCTAGCTTTGCCAGGCCTTACCTCTGTCACCTGGAGGCTGCGCTTCAGCGCTGACCCCCTTGAGACAGTGGGAGCTGTCTGAGCGAGGCTTGTCTGCTGTGGCATCTATGCATTGTGGTGGAAAAGAGCAGTTTAATATTTTTAAAAATTTATAGCCTTGCGTGGTGGCTCACGCCTGTAATCCCAGCACTCGGGAGGCTGAGGCGGTTGGATCATTGCGAGTTCGAGACTAATTGAGCTCAAGGCCAGCCTGAACTGCATAGCGAGACCCTGTCTCAAAAAGACCAAAAAAAAAAAGAAAAGAAAAAAGAAAAAAAAATATTGTAGTAAAATCACATTGCCATGAGTCCTTCTCCAAATTCTTCCCCTTACTTTGCACACACTGACATCATCATTCTTGGCACTTTCTGAAGCAGCTCTGGAAGTCCTGTTTTGTGTTTGTAGTTGTGCTCTCCTGAATGCCTCGATGTCCTGAATCAATTCGAAACGTTTCCCTTTCTTGAACATTTTGATTTTGGGAAAGAGCCGGAAGTGTTGTGGTGCCAGATCCGACGAGTAAGGTGGAAAGGCCATGCTAATGTTTTCATGAGCCTGCCTTTCTGCTGGATAGCACGGGGTACAGTATTCACTCTATTTTTTTTTTTTCTTTTTTTTGGTCAAATCTTATAAAGATACTAATGAAAGGGGACTTCTAGAACTGCTTCAGAAAGTGACAAGAACAGTCAGATGAGTGTGCTTGAAAGGAGGGAGGGTAATGCCTTTTATTGTAATGCATTTTACAAATTGAAGCATTTTCCGTATATGTTGGTTATGCCTTGAACTTCTTTGCTCCCCTGACCCGTGCCAAGGCTGTTCGATAGCAGTTGGGAAAAGAATGTGCACAGTGTCACTTTCCAGAAGCTTCCACAAAATCGGTCTTGATTTCACCTCTTTTGCCCTTGCAGCTCATACCACGGGTACAAAACCATGAAGGATTTTGTCAGGAGGAGGTGCTGGGCCAGGTGAGATGGAATCACAGAGTGCCAGGCCTGGCTACCCAAGGAGCTACCACTCCAGGGGAGGGACTGTGGCTCCTCTGGGCCAGACCTGCTGGGGACTAACCCTGACCTGGTCCCAAGGGAAGAAATGGAGAGGGCGGGAAAGCAGAGTCAAAGTAAATGTCAGCCCAGGAAATGCCTGCGGCTCCCCGTGCTCTGGTTTCTGAAGAGTTTGTTTTAAAGAGCAAATAAGACAAATGTCACTGGCAGGTTCTGCTTTCGGGCAGGAGCAGAGGCTGGCCGGGCTGGGGGAGGGCAGGGAGCACTTCCGCTCACCAGGTGCTCTCTGGGGTCCTGCTGTCTTGCTCTAGTCCGGGCAGGGTTGTCCACCCTAGTCCTGTGCACTGAACCTTCTGAGTGTCTTCAGCAAGTAACTCTGAGCAGCGATGGGTCCTGAGTTTTGAGATCAGCCTGGGCCCCTGGGCTTGTGTCGCTTTTCCCCATATAGAAAATGCAAGCTGGTGACCAATGGACCCTGGCTGGAGGTGGCCCCCATCGCCCTTGGGGACGTGTCCATCATCCCAGAGAGCCCAGAGAGCACAGATGGTGATGGCCGCAGTCACAACATTGCGCTCTGGGCCGTTAGTGACAAAGGCGATGTACTCTGCCGCCTGGGTGTGTCTGAGCTGAACCCTGTGGTGAGCACCCTCTTCCCAGCCACCCTGTCCTCCCAGCTGCTCCCCAAAGTGAAGACTTGCTTTGCAGTCAGGCTGGGCTCAGGCCTCCCCAGGCTAGGTCTCCGGGATGGGGGGAGGTCCCTGGGGCCTCTGAGCAGTTGGTGTTGAGGGTGAGGCTGGCATGAAGATATGCCATCTCTTGGGGTCTAGAGCAGCAATAGGGACAAAGGTTGGTTCTGCTGACATGGAAGCTCTTTGACATATGGTATTCTGAAGCCTAGGGCTTCAGTGATGACCAGTGTCAGGCTGTGGTCAGGACTGAGTCGGAAGGGGCTGGGTCCATGTTATACCAAGGTCACCCCATGATGTGATGTACTTCCTAGAGTTGCCCACCCTCAGGCAAATTTGGGTGCTGGACTTTGCATCAGTCCTGGGCCAGGGGACCTGGTGGCTCTGGAGGTCACTTTGATGCCCTTCCCCTGCCTCCAGGGCTCCTCCTGGCTGCACATCGGCACTGATCAGCCCTTTGCCTCAGTCTCCATTGGGGCCTGCTACCAGGTGTGGGCTGTGGCTAGGGACGGCTCTGCGTTCTACCGGGGCTCTGTGTCCCCCTCCCAGCCAGCTGGTGAGTACCAAGCTGTGGTGGAGACGTTGGAGCAAGGGTCCCCATATTTAGTGCCACCTCTGGAACATTAGGCCTCCCTGGCCCCACACTGACCACTCGGGGAAGGTGAGTCATACTGGCCTGCTCTGTGCCAGGTATGCAGACAGCATCCAGCTAGGAGAGGCTGGCAGTGGTGGAAATATGGGTGGCAGTGGCTGGCACATAGACCCTCTGTAACAGTGGATTTGAAGGGTCATCACTGAGGCTAGCGCTTGACTGCATACCAGGCTATGTGTCTATATTACTGAGGCTGGTCCACTGGGCCCCATCTTTAGAGCTTGCCATGGTCCCTGGAGGGCCCTGGACCAGGCCAGGTCGGGTGGACCAGGGTGTCGGGTGGATGGTGGTCCTGGGTCAGGCTGGGTACACTCTCAGCTAACACCAGGCCCCCCTGTGCATCTGTGGCCCTGGGAAATGAGACTGGCCATGACAACTCAGCCCACTGTGAGCTCTGGAGAAGCTGACATCCCCAGAGATCTGGGCTGACAGGTTTGATGTCCCTTGCGTCCTCCTGAGTCAGCTGTCCTGTCATAGGTGACTGCTGGTACCACATCCCATCACCTCCCAAGCAGAGGTTGGTGCAGGTGTCCGTGGGTCAGACGTCTGTGTATGCCCTGGATGAAAATGGCAAGTAGTTTGGGCTGTGGTGTGGTCAGTGAAGAGGTGGAGTTCCCTGAGCACCCCAGAGGGATGACGGGCAGGTTCCACAGACTTGTGTGGGAGGCTGGGGATGGATATCCTGGTGGTCTCTTTGCAAGGTACCCAGAAGCATTCAAGACTTTCTGTTCCATGATTTCCCAGGGCACAAATGATAGCTAGGCAATTGGCCCACCTGTCAGTGTGAACCTCCCAGGTCATGGTGACCATGGAGCTGAGACCTCACAGCCTGGGCCTGGCCTTCGGGAGCCATCCAGGACCTGAACCAGGCCAGAATAGCACAGTCCATGTCTCATGTCCACCATGATAGGCATCCTGCCCAAGGTCAATTTTGGTGCCAACCTCTACCCTGAGTTACCCAGGCCTGGTAGGTACTGGCCCAGTGGTGAGACCCTGCTTGGGCAGAGAGCAGACTGCCGATCACTTGTAACAGTAGAAGCATCTTCTGGGAGTATCTTCTAGAAAGTTTCATTCAGGTCAGAGGTACAGGAGGCACAGGACTGGCTCTCAGCCTTCTCCAACCCCCACGTCTCCTTGAGGTGGGCTCTGGCCAGAACCTTTAAAGATTGTGTCCTTAAGTAGCTGGGTGTGGTGGCACACACCTGTAATCCCAGAACTTGGTAGGCTAAGACAGGATTGCCATGATTTTGAGACTACCCTGGACTACATAGTGAGTTCAAAATCAGCCTGAACTACATAGTAATACTTCAAAAAAGTAAGAATAATATAACATAACATAAAAGGGTCTACCACCGCATGTGGTGCCACACAACCTGTAATCTCAGCACTGTGAGAGGCTAGGCAGGAGGATCGGAAGTTTAAGCCCACCCTGAGCAGTTTAGCAAAACCCTATCTCAATAAAAAGTAAGTAAATAAATAAGGACTACGTATATAGCTCAGTGCAAAGCCCTTGAGTTCAATCCCTGCTTCTCTGACGGAAAAAAAAATTGGTCGTCGTTATGGGTGAAATGGCTGAGAAAAGACAAATTCAAGACTTGAAGTCCGGAGTGTTTATTACAGATCCACCTCTCTCTTTATTTGTTTAAAAACTTCTTTGTCCTCAGTTTTTTCCCTCAGTAGAGAGGCTAATGTCGCCAGCCCTGCCCGGCACAATGGGACAATTATGAAGCTCAGGGAAGCCCAGGCATAGAAAGGGCAAGGCTGGCTGTGGTCCAGACTTGGCTGCAGAGCTCGAGGGTTTGGAGAAGTGGAGGGGCACTGCCTTGGCACACAGCACCTCAGCGCCCCCATACCTTAGGGGCAGGATGGGCTGGGGGCCTTTGCCATTGACTTTGGCCTCTTCTGCCCCAGGGAACCTGTGGTACCGTGCGGGAGTCACGCCCAGCTACCCACAGGGCTCCAGCTGGGAACATGTGTCCAACAATGTACGCAAAGTGTCAGTGGGGCCCCTGGACCAGGTGGGTAGACAGGGCACTGGGTACCTGGGCATCTTGTCCCCCTTACTGGTCTACCCCTCCTGTCCCAGTGACCCACAGTGGCTGCTGGGTAGGGGCTTCAGCTGGTGTATGTTCCAGGTCTGGGTCATCGCCAATAAAGTCCAGGGGACCCATGGCCTGAGCCGGGGGACTGTGTGTCGTCGCACTGGCGTGCAGCCCCGAGAACCCAAAGGGCAGGGCTGGGACTACGGTATTGGGGTGAGTGGGCCATACTGGCAACATTGCGCGTGTCCCAGGCTGACACAGTACTAGCTGCAACCTGGCATTGGGTTGGGGTTGGTGGAGGCCCCAGGCACAGCCCCTCTGGTGATGTGGCTTTCTCCTTCTAGGGAGGCTGGGACCACATCTCTATCCGAGCCAATGCCACTAGGGCCTCCCGGAATGTGTCCCAGGAGCAGAAGGTCCCTGGCCCTGTCAGCTGCTGAGGCCACCAATCTCTCAGAGGCGGGGGTGGCGCCAGATTTGAAGGATCCTGGCCGAGCCAATCTGTGCTAACATGCACACCGTGGAGGCTTTTGCAAAGGCCGACTCAGGGGAAGTCTGGCCCGGGTTGCGGCCAACTTCAGAAGCACTGGCTGAAATGCCCAGAAATGTGAAGCTGTGTGGACATGCCCATCTGTATCTCCAGTCTTTGAGAAATGCTAGAGAGAGGGGTGGGGGACAGGGACCCTCAGCCACATCCCATCCCACCGTCACTTCCCACTCTGCCTTCTGCCTCCCTAAGCTGGAACCTAGAACCCCACACCCTCCAGCCCAGCCCTCCAAATCACATCTGGGCCCTATCCCATCAGGGGAATTGCCATGAGGCCTGGGTCACATGTCACATGCGTGATCATTCCTCAGCATAGGACTTGCAGTGGGAAAGATACTTTCCATGTTCAGCAGAGTGAGCAGATTATAAGTGGATGTACGAGTGGGTGGTTTGGGGTCCCCAAGAGTAGACTGCGAGGTGGAGATGGTGTTGGTGTGCAGGATTATCATTAGCTCTTCATCACCTCCCTTCCTGTGGTGCAGTGGGCTGGGCCCTTCTGGTTCACCCAATCATGTGGAATAGTGGCCAGTTGGAGGCTGGTGCCAACCTGGGACTCACAGGTGTGGGGTAGGGAGCAGGAATGTGCCTGGAAGCAGAGGTGTGGCCAGAGCCCCAAGTATCTGTGCCTAGGGCAAAACAGAAGGCTTCTTTGCTCCAGGTGGGCCCCCTGCCCAGCCAGACAAGAAGGAAGTGCTTGGCCAGTGGCCCAACTCCCTCATGCAGTTGTGTGGCAGCCTATACTTGGTGACATCTTAAATTTACTTCCTGTAGCTGGACACCTTGGCCAGGAGGGAGCTAGAGCCAGGGCCATTTGTCTTCCAGAATGAGCAACTGGCCACTTGCTGACTTCCTGGGATCCCCAGGATGTAAGGGGCAGACCCGCATTTGCTTCTGAATCCTCAGTACTGTTAGAGTTTGTCCCCAGAAGCCGGCTCAGCACTGGCTCCCCCTGGGCCCTCTCCCGTGGGCATTTGAGGGGCCTGGGCTCCATAGGCAATGGTTCTTGAGTGGGGCTGGTCCCACCTGGATGTGGAGCTGTCACAGAGCCTCAAGGGTGGATCCCCCCACCCCGCCTGTTTACATTTCCCTGTCAGGTTCCTGATGGGCAGTGTGGTTTGTCCCCTCACACCTGTGACCTGTATGTTCTGCCGTTGAGTCTCGCCGTCTGCAGGTGGCTTTCAGGGAACCACCTGGAGGGTGTCACTCTGCCCTGTCTCTGTGGTGACCTCTCCTGAGTGTTTCCCTGCTCAGCATCACTGAACTCTCTTGATTCCTCCGATGCTTTATTCAATAAAAACTTACACCACAGTGTACATGGCAGCATCGTTTTATTGATACACTGATTGAAATGCATAGTTCCTATGCATTTATACATGTGGCCAAAGCATTTGCCCTCAATTCTTTTATTTTCCTGGTATGGCAAGGTATCAATTTCATTCCTACTTTGAAGGTACAGTTAGCCAAAAATAAAAGCAAGTTTGGGTCAATTAAGGGACATCCTCACCACAATGACAGCAGAATACAGGCTGCTCAGTCCCAATTTGATTTTCCCAGACAGAAAAGTCACAGTTCTGTCTTTTCCACTTGTGGAGAGGATGGTGGGCCAATACCTCAGGGGACCCCAGCACCAACCTGCTTACCCAGGGCTTTGAGAAAGTTTATCCCTGATGGTCCAGGAGGACCTCTCAAAGGATGAAAATGTCCAGGCTGGGCTGGGGGCTCAGGACAAGGGTCGTGGGAGACCAAGCCACCGGCCATGCTGACTGGTCACCAATCCATCCCTGTCTTCTCTCTAACATTCAACACCCCAAAGTGAGACTGAGGCATTTGAGTACCCTTTGTAATGTGGCCAAGGGCACATAGATCCCCTCCAACCACCAGTGCAAAAGGACTGGCTACCTGGGAAGTGGAGGGGATTGCAGGCGCCAGCTCAGGGCAGGAAGAGTCGTGAGGTTGTGGTCCAACAAGGTGGTGACTTGTGGCAATCCTGGGCTATGGCCAGTTCTCAGGAGGATGTTGGCAGCGCCCCTGCACCCTCTACTCGAGGCTCAGATCATCAGCATGTCCAGCGGTAAGCTGTGTCCAGTTCTGGCCTCAGCTCAGCTTCCAGGGGCCAGTGGTGGCCTCACTCATCTCAGGGCACCTCTGGACTGCAGGTCCCTGTAGCAGGAGATGCCTGGGCCGGCTCTGTCTCAATCTAGGGGTTGTATCCAATCTCAGCTCACACTGGTAGGTCCCCAGGGGGCACATGGGAAGGCTCACATGCCCACCTGACCCTTAGTGGTAGTTGGAGCAGAGGGTCAGACCAGGCTCCCAGGCCTACAGGGAAGGACCCAAGATCACCTCATGGAGACAGGGAGCCCGGTGTGCCAGGGCTTCCTTCCAGAGCACCTGGCTGGGAGTTAGGACCAAAGCAGAAATGCCTGTTCCTTTGGGTGCCACCTGCTACCTTTCACGTGACCACAGCTGACCCCAAGCTGACAGAGTGCCACACTGCCCAAGCGTGGGGAGGCAAGGCCATGTGTTGGAGACAGGCCAGCAAAAGCCTCAGCCAAACTCCTGGTCTAGGTAGGTCCCCCCTGCCCAGATCCTCAAGGTCTCTGGGATAACTCTGTGTGGAGGGACAAAAGAGATGAGATGCCAGCAGGGTTGACAGCAAAGTGGCCCAGTCCGGCAGAGCCAGTGGGGCAGGAACGCCCCGACAGAAGGAAGCTGGGCCTGAAGCAGCTGGGCTGCCAAGCCACCCAATCAATCCCTGCCATCAGGAACAGCACTCGGTGTGGGGAGGGAAGCTCCTGCCTCCCCAGGCTTCACCGTGCAGAAAGCCCCAAACCCTCCCCATGTGCAGGGGCTCAGGGGAACTCTTACCTAGCACTGAGGCCCCACAAAGACCCCCCCACCAGTCAAACACAGCCCAGAGTGCTACCCCTCTCTAGAAGACCCCCAGTAGGGTCTAGGGAGGGAGCCCCGCCCCAGGACCTTTTAGAAGGAAGTGGGGTCCTCTGATTAGGGTTTCTGACTACTCAAAAAACTGCCATCTTTGTTCTGCCATATTCCTTGAAGGGCCTTGGGTTCTGTTCTGCTTAATTTCCCCAAATCAGAGGGCTGAGCCCCAGGCCCCACCTAGGTCTATGACTCAGGGTACAGGCGGCCCCTTCCCCTGCTTTGCCTCAGGGAAATCTTTAAGTAAACCATTTTCTGGAATCTTTGCTGGGGGGAGAGGGAAGGTCATGCAAGGGGAAGAGATTTAGTGATGAAGAAAGCAAGCAGGTCTTTTCCATTCTCATAAGGCCACTAGCTCAATGCAAAAACAACAGGGCCTGGAACCTTCCTGGGGCTTTAGGCCTTATGATACTCAGGGTCATAGCCTGGAAATAACCAGACAAGTTGCTTATCCCCTGGAGGGCTGGAAAAAACTGCTCCAGGGAAGTGACTGAGCTGAGTTTCAGGGAAGAGGAGTTGCGGGAGGCCACAACCTCTTAGAGCTGACATCCTTACAGGTCTAGGTGAAACTTGAGGCTCTGAGGGACCAGGGTTAGGAGAGCAGGCCAGCCACCACTGCCACCCCGCCCCAGTCTGGGTGCTAGCTGCCCTCTCTGAAGCTGTGGATCTGTGTAGAGTACCGCTGCAGGTGGCCCTGGGGCTGGACCTCTGTGGCCCCCATCGGGGCCCCAGCCACATGCTGCTGCTGTTGCTGCTGCTGCTGCTGCTGGTAGTGCTGGTAAAGCTTGGGGCCCACCGAAGGCTCTGGTCCCTCGAGGCCTGGGAGGCAGCTGCTGGACATGGTCAGGATGGTGGAGGTCAGCGACTTGATGTAGTTCTTGGCCAGCGTGAGCGTCTCGATCTTGGAGAGCTTCTTATCAGCTCGTACGTGCGGGATCACCTCTCGCAGGGCTTGGAAGGCATTGTTGAGCTTGTGCATCCGCTGCCGCTCCCGCTCGTTACTCTCCAGCCGCCGCTGAATGCTGTTCTCTCGTCGGCTGCCTGGGCCCTGTCGCCGGCGCCCACCCTCAGCCCGTGTCCCCGCTGCCCTGGATGTCCTGCTCCGCAGACCCTTGGCCAGCTCTGAGCCACAGCCAGACTGGGGCCTGTCAGGGGTTTGCTCCTCCACAGTGGCCTCGGTGTCCTGCAGTGGTACCCGGCGCCGGGGAGGACGGCTTTTGGTCTTCATGATCCAGACTGGTTGTGCAGCAGGTGGTGGCCAGGAAAAGAGGTCCTCGGCACTGAAATCCAGAACGAAGGCCACTGTGATCACTCAGCATGGTCAATGACACACAAGGTGGTGTCCTGTCAGCTTTCTCCCCAGTGCAATGGATTAATGGCCTGTGAAGGCTGACCACTCAGTGCACAGTGACCCCAGGGTCTTTCCACACACCTTGAGCTGACTTACCTGCCCCCTACACTTCTGCTTGATCTCACATCAGCTCCGCAACTCCCCATGATCTCCTGTTCCCTATCTTTCTCCACTGGCTCACACTCAACCTGGTGGCCTTTTTCTGGTCTCATGTTCCTCACTGCCCTGTGAGTGCCTCCTGAGTATAGGTGACCTGTGACATGTGGCAGCCATTCCTCCTGCCCTGTTGAATGTGTCAGGCTGTAGGACAATATTGGGACTAGAAGCTCTGTGTACATGGTGCAGCTGTCACAGGTCAGAGGTGGACAGTTTCCAAGGTCTCTGCACAGCCCCCAGCCCCACCATGCGGATGGCACCATGGGAAGGGGGACGACAACTTCCCCGTGGCCACCGCCTGGGTTTTCTCTTTGCTGTCACCTGTTCCTGCCTCTGGTCCCCTCCCGGGAGCCCCACCCGGGTCCTCCTTCCCCCGTTACCTGGGGATCCGCGGCTGCACCCGTCAAGGCTGCCCACGGGGGACAAGGACACGTCGCTTTAGCCGCCCCGGGCGGGGCCGAAGACGCATGTAAATCAGCTCGCGGGGCGGGACCGGGTGGGCGGCCACGCCTCATTCTCAGGACCCGGGTCTCCCAGACGGACCGGAAGCGCAGGGCACCGAGTGTGAGGTAGGGGCCCACCTGCGGCTGGAGACCCCGGGGCCTCTGGGGGCGACCCCGGGGCCTCTGGGGGCGACCCCGTGCGCCTGCAACTGACCGCCGCACCTGGCCTCGCGGTAAGGCTGGAACCTGGAGCCCAGATTGGAAGACGCGGTGGGGCAGCGCTTGTGTAATCATAGAAACCATGTACAGGCAGCGGCCACATCCTCGTGGAGCTGTGCAGGGCCCGGGACTTCCCCCAGCCCCACCCCTCCACCCCAGTGCATCCGGATGTTACCGGCTGACCCTGCAGCCCCGAAGGGCTTAGGGACGCGGGTCCCTTTCCCATCCCCCCAGGCGCTGGGCGGAGCTTCTGCAGCAGTGTCCCCTGGTCAGCAGGAAAGGTTGGTTGTCCCTGGAGTTTGGTTTCTAGGGGCGGGAAGTAGACAGCTTCGGCACAAAACCTACAGTTCCCTCACAAAACCTCCCCAGGACAACCAAAAAACAAAAACGCTGCGCTGCATACCTGATTGCTCCCTGCCTGTTTCCACATCCTATCACTGGGGAATTTTTTGTTTTGGGGGGTTGTTTTTGCGACAAGGTCTCCCTATATGGTTCGCGCTGGCCTTGAAGTCGCTATATAGCTGGGAGCTTTCTGAGGCTGCGCAGGTGAGCACCTTAGAAATGAAATGGGTCTGAATTCCGCAGCAGGTGCAGAGGCTTTGGATTACAGATACACTTCAAGGCAGCATGAATGCAACGTGGCACTTGTTTTACTGGGTATCCCTATAATTCCAGCATTCTGGGAGCCTGAGGCAGGAGGATCCTAAATTCAAGGCCTGTCTGGGGAATTTAGCAAGATTCAGTCTCAAAACAAAACAAAGCCAACTAGGGAGGTAGCTTTGTAGCGTGAAGACCCTGGTTCAACTCTGCACTCATCTCTGGTCTAAACAAAACTCATTTCCCAGTGAAAACCCTCTTTAAGTTTTCAGGATCCTGAGAGGTTTAGGAGACCCAGGCAGTGTGGGCTGAGCAGGGTAGTCAACGCCATGATACCTCCATCCCAACACGGTGGAAAAAACAGAATAGACTCAGCAACAGTTTATAAATATATAACTATATTTATTTTGAATATTAAATAGTTTTTAAATTACAAGCAATTTATTGAATCACACTATGCATCAATATACAGTAAAAATCTTACAATTTAAAAATGTACACAATTTAAACTGAAGTTCATTAACTGTTATATTGCAGTGAACCTCTTTCCGACTGTGGTTAGTACAACCTGGAGGTGTGTGAGACTTGGTAGGTGTGATCACTGCCCAGGTCCTTGTCTGCAGACAGGAAGAAACAGTGGGTATGCGACGCACCAGTCCTGTGGTCAGGACCCAGCTGTCCCTCCACAGATCACCATAATCTAACAGCCCCTGTTGGAGCCTTTTAAGGGGACCGAACAAGTTTTGGTGGTACAATACTGTCAATACGTTTAGAACTTACATAATAAATAGAGTTTTCAACAGCCAGAACTTCAGCCAACCTATTACTACTTAGGAATATTGTTTTGCGATTTTTCTGAAGTCAGTGTGTACACCCATTCTTATTTTAAGGCTACTTCTCTCAAGGCCAATGCTCTGAAGCCCAAAACTTGAAAGATGCCGTTTGAATTTTCAGGTGACGGAGGGGCTGGGTAGAGGAGAATGAGGAGCTGCCTCCCTTCCACCTGGTCCTGGGGCCAGCTATGTAACAGGTCATTAACTATAAACACTCTATGGGAAGTACGAATAAAAAGAGTTTTGAAAGACCTTTCATGACAGCAAGACATACAAGGACTTTTCTTAAAGCCTGTATGAAATAGTGGGGCCGGACATTTAAAAGAGAGCGGATGTCAATTCCACAGAGTTAAGCCTGCCTCCCACATCCTGAAGATGGACAGCTGCTGACCCGGATGTGGACTCGCAAGAGGCTCTGGGAGCACGTTCTCTACCTCTTTCTGTTTTATGATGGATCAGTGAATAACACAAATCAGCATCTGGCTAGGAGGGAAATGAAGGGTAGATGACTTATACTGAAGGATCTAAAATACACACACTCTGCCAACCACGTCATCTCCCCACGTCATCTAGAGGATGCCACTGATTTATTTCATTGCGTAACTTCTTAGAACAAGTATGTTGGAAAACCTACCACTGGTAACTAATAAGTAAAAACAAAAAACACGGTATGTGCTGACATTTCAAAAATGGGCTGAAGTTTTAATCTATTTAGTTAAACTTCTTTGTATTGCTTCAGATTCCATAAGAACACACTGATTCACATGTTGATGAGAGATAGTCTCCCCTTCCATGCAACACCATAGTTCAGTCTACCCCGCCCCCCACTCAATGTACAAAATGCTTTTTTTGGCAATAAATTATAAGTGATATAAAAATTAAAAATGGGATTCATGTTAAAATCTTAGCTTAGTGAAAATGTACAGCTCTGAAATATCCATAAACGTATCCTGGGCTTACTGTATGAGAAGGCCATATAGTCTATGAATGTTTGATTTTAATTGTTAAATTATAAATTCCTTGGACCTATATTTTAAATAATCTAATTGCCTCTCATCTCTCTCAATCAATTAAGACTAGTAGGTAGAGGTAAAAATTTGGAAAACTCGAGAAGTCTCCATGGTAAGAAATTCAGAGTTATGACAGTTTTGGCAACATCACCTTCAAAGGCCCTGTTTTTAGAATACAGGTGTTCCAAGAGCCAGTGCTCCCTGCAGGTCCTTGGTACACGCTCAGTTCACACCAAGTGGGGGATAAGGGCAACTCTATTCAGAATTTTCTTGCTTTGGAAAATTATTGCTTAGTATAAAAAAATTCACAGAGTGAATCAGAATCGATAAGAAAGGTCATAATTTACTATGTAAACTCTAGGCAACATCCACATTTGCAGTCTGCACTGGGACCCAAGTCCTGCAGGTGACAGCCAGGGCCTGGAGGCGTCCCAGCGTCACACTGGAGTGTGGGAAGCAGATCAGCACCGGGAAAGAGCCGGGGTAAAGGGCTGATGTAGGGTACCATCCAGTAGGATCAGGGCTCTGCTCAGTGCTGCCATGCTGCACAGCCACGGGGGACCTCCTGACGTCCAGGCAGTTCTCTAGGCCAGGACAATGAGGTCAGCTTTGTGTGAAGGACACTGGTTTTAGACGAAGCCACATTGGAGATGCTCAGTTCCTTTCAAAGCAAGAAGAGGACTTGGTGCCTACAGCAGGAGGAAAGGGCCAGGCAGCTGGGCCCTGGGAGCTGTGAAGACCATGAACCCGCTAAGGAGGATGCATCAGCTGCTGGGCTTCTGCTGTGGTCCCTTTGCCCTTTTCCATGGCTGCGAAGAAGAGTGAGCACGGCTGTGCAATGCGGTGTTGTTCTGGGTCACAGAGATTGGCCGCTCCTGGCTGGACTTGGAATGGTGCCAAGCTGAAAATCCAGCTCTGGAAATGTTTTAAGAGCTTGAAACAATACCACCTGCAGTGGACCAATCCTCCTCACGCAGCCAGAGCCCCTCATGGGAACATGTATGCCTCTGAGGCGTCCACCTTCTTAAAAGGAGGACTCAGCAGGACTCCCACAGCCTGACCTGCCACACCACACTGCAATCCAAAACTGAGTGTGGGGTGCCCCTGTCAGTCTTAAACACCAGGGGGATGAGGGAATCTTATAGGGAGGCTGCAAGATTTTGGCAGCCCAGAGAAGCTGTATTTGCCACAGGGAAACCACCTTCTAGGGAAGAGACGAAACATGTTTGATTCAATCATTGTAAGTAACAGAGCAGTATTTTGGGACTCATCAAAAATATTTCCTATAAGAACATAAAACACTAACATTCAGAATCAGTATCATGTATGAAACAGTACCATATATACAGCTCCAATAATTCTGAAGACAGCATATCACTCAAAATATTTAAGCTTTACAAGTACCATGCAGGGCAAACAAACTATCAAACAGGAAAAAAAAAAAAAAAAAAATCAAACTAGTGGATAGCACCAGCTTGACCTGCCTTATTTTCCTTGAATAATTTACGATTCTGTACAATATTGGGGACTCTTGGAACACTTATCCACAGTGCAATTACAGAGCAATTAGTGATTTCTTTTAAAACAGTAAATATGGCTCACTTGTGACCATTCCCCTGGGGCATCCTCCGTGGCACTCATGTCCAGACCCGGAGGCAACAGGTGTGGACACAAAAGACAGCAGCACAGAAAACAGCACACCCTGCCACGCAGTTTCCCCCAAGCAATTCGGACGATCAGAGTGTGAGCGCTGCAAGTGTGAGAGGCCCTCAGGGTGCGGCTGCAGTGGGTGGCTGGGACAGCCGCCGAGCGTGGCCTCCAGGGTCCTCAGGTCTCACGGCAGCTGCTGCTGCTGCTTGGGCTCATGGGTCAGAACAGTCTGGCCTGGAGACTGTATGCGAGGCCACCTAATCCTTTTCTCCATCTTCGCTGCTGCCTATTTAGGAGAGAGCACGTTTTAGAAATGATTGTCCTAGATAACAAATCTGGAGCGCACCTGACCACTGTGGCAGGAAAAGGATCTGCAGCTTGGGTCTGCCTGCTTCACACCTGCCCGACCTGCCCTGTCAGTCTTTAAAGTGGCGCCTACTGACTCCGTGCACCCAGCTGCTTGGCTCCCATGGTGATTCCGTGCCAATGCTCAGGGCAAGGAAGGAAATCAGCCCGGCTGCCTGTATGCACCCATGCACACCTGCCCACCAGGTCCTCGGGTGCAGGCATTATCTCCTCGGCACTAGTGAAGCCGTGCAAACACAAACACAGCTCTTTATGGTTCACATTTATTATTTGATCTGTAAACTTCAAATAAAAAAATGCACCTATTTATTAACATTTATCTTTCCATCTAGGTATGGGGGAAATGACCCATATGTTCAGATCCTGCCACTTCAAATGTGCCTGTGCCTGGGCATTCCCACCTGGCCCTCTGGTATCACACGGAGACCAGGACTTAATGGCAAAACCAACATTCCCAGGGGAAAAGCCAGAGTGCACCCAAGCTCAACTCAGAGGCTTGGCCAAGAGTTCAGAGGAGCCCACACCTGCTGAAGGGCTGCATCTCTGAAAAGAAGTGGAGACTGTGGAGTAGGGCAGCAGCCAGAGAAAAAGGAAAGACAGACAGTGATCTGGGGAACCGCTGGTGCTCCAGATCCAGGGCACTCGAGCCCAACACGGGGAAGCAGGAATGAGCTTCCAAGTGTTTCTAGAAGTGGGCTGCATGAGCCTAGTCAGTCCACCATCAAGATGCAGGAGTGTACAAGTTTTATGGAAACAAATTTATTCACTCCATAGCACTAGAGATTGAACCCAGAGCTTTTACACTGAGTTGCATCCCTAATTATCTATGCTAAGCTATGCTAAGCTATGCTAAGCTATGCTATGCTATGGTCTTGCTGTTGCTAAGTTGCCAAACTGCCCAGGCTGAGCTCCAATGTACAATCCTCCTGCCTCAACCTCTCAGAGTATAGGGGTTACAGATGTATATCATCACAGTTGGCTTTAAAAGCAAATTTATAACCTATTCAGCAAATACCCAGAAACATTACATTACCAGGTCTTCAACTCCACAGAGGGGTGGGTGGAGGGTGGACACCACCAAGCCAAAACCTGATCTCTTAGACCACATGCCCATGCCAGCCCATGCAGGGTGTTTCTCACCTCCTTGCTCAATGTCCGAGTCAGTGAGGTGCGTGAGAGAGAAGCTGGCAATGTTGGCGGGAGAGATGGAGAACCTGGAGCAGGGTGACACGTGTGGCCAGCTCTGCTCTGTGCTCCGGGCTGGCGGTGGAGGGGAGAAGTACTTGGACGGCTGAAGGGAAGGCTTGGAACCTAGAAGGCTGCTTGTTGTCTTTGACATGAAAGGATCTGGGGAGAAGTCATCATCCCACTCAAAGCCTCCACCTGGAAAAAAAAATCCTCCTGTTATCATCGTGCAATGAAGAGCAGAGGAGCCCGAAAGCACAGGTGTGCTGGATGCATGAGCCAACACCAGCCTTGCCACCAGATGGCCAGCTGTGCTCCAGGTGTTGAGAGAAGGTTATTGAAAGCAATAAGCCATGTGCTCCTGCCAGAGTGTTTACATTACCCAATGCTCTGTTTTCTGATTGTGTTTAAGCTAGTCAATGAAGTGAAATACCTTCTTCATCCGTGGAACTCTCAGAGTTTATACACCTGCTCAGATAGGGTGAGTCTGAGGTGGGTGCCGAGCTGCTGGGCCCAGGGTGGTGTGCTTCTTCTCCACAGTGCCCCAGCTCTTTGGTTGGGGTCTCCTGAAAAGCCAAGCAGAAGGACCTGTCAAGCCTGTGCCTGGGAGCTGCTCAGTGTGCCACAGCCCTGCTGACGGGTGCCTTGCAGTTTAAAGCGAGGGCAGTTTCATCCCTGCTAAGTGGGGGACACTGATGAGTAGCCTGCCTTCCTCTGAATGAGGCCCCAACAACTGGGCAGGACAGAAAAGCAGCTTGGAGGCCTCTGAGAAGTAAATGTAGCAGGCAGATGGTGATATTAGATTTATCACCATCAAAGTGCTACAAATGAGCACTTCATTAGCCATTTCCCTTGAATGGCCTTGGACCGGATTCAACTCAGCCTGAAAGCCAGAGGGGGTCCTGGTGTGGACAGAGCTGCAGAGGCCTTTGGTGTCCAAACAGGTAATCTAGGTTTTTTTTTTCTCTATCCTTTCCTGTTCTGCCACCGCCAGGCCTATTAACCCCAGAGTGACAGAAGTGTGACTCTAAGGGGGCTGAAGCCTCTTTCTGCACTGGTGGATGCTGACCCACAAGAGTGAGGGACTGCTGCTCATTTCTGCTCTGTCCTCTCCTGCTCATCCTAGGCATGGCACTGTCAGGACCTAGCCTGCGGAGATTCACAGAGCTAAAGTCCAGGGCCATCAGAGAAAGTAGAGCTTAGAATAGCGATTCTAGATAGTGTCTGGGGGGCTCCTAGGCCTACCTGAGCAGACCCCAAACAATACAAAAAGCTTTGCGGGCTGAACTGGGGGAATGGAGAGCCAACATACAATACTGTGTTCTGGCCAGGCCCCAGCTGGCATCCACTAAACAAAGGCTTCAAAAGGGGAACAAGCACTGAAACCACAACCCACAGGGGCTGACTGGGGCTGGTGGCCTGAACCCAGCTGGGGGGAAGGGCTGTAAAGACAAAAATACCAACATTTGCCAGAGCTTAATACAACAGAGTAATCGTATGACACCATGTGACACAAAATCTAAAATCACCTAGCAGCCAAAGAACCTGGCATAACCCAATTCACGAGGGTAACAGTAATCAACACATGCCAGTGTCAAGAGGAGATAGGTGGTGGAATTACCTGAAAAAGACATTAAAAATCTCCGAGGCTGGGGGTGTAACTCAAGGGCAGAGCACTTGCCTCACATGTGTGACAGACACCCTGTATTCAATCCCCAGCTCCAAAAAATACTGAAGTAAAACCACAATCCCCTCAAACCAAAACAGGCACACATGTTCTCACTCACTGACTCGCTCGCTCGTTCTCTATCTCTCAAAACCAAACCAAACCAACAAACAAGAACAAAGTCCTGCAAGTACGGGCAAGCACTCTTGAACAGAAATATATAAGATCTCAACAAAAGGTCAGATGAGCCAGATGTAGGAGTACTTGCCTGTAATTCCAGCTACTTGGGAGGCTGAGGCAGGAGTATTACAAGTTCCAGGCCAGGCTGGGCAATTTAGCAAGACTATGTCTCAAAATAAAGACTTTAGAAAAAAAAAAAAAAAAAAGGGCTGGGGATGTGGCTAGTGGTAAAGCACTTGCCTAGCATGCACAAAGCCCTGGGTTCTAGCTCCAGTGGGTATCTGTGTGGTGGGAGGCAATAAAAACAAATAGAGATAACCTAATCCAGCCACCAGCAAGAAAAACAACTGGAGGAATAAAAACGAACAAACAACAACAAAAAAACAGTGTCTTGGGGTCACTGGGAAGACACTAAAGGGTCTCATGTTAGGGTCCCAGGTGGAAAGGAGAGTACTGTGCAGAAAAAGTACTTGGGTAAAAAAATGTCTAAAACACTTGTCAAATTGGTGCAAGATCTAAAACTACAGATTCAAAAAGCACAGCAAACTTGGAATCAGCATGAAGAAATCCAGGCCCAGGTGCATCACAGTTTAAATTAATGAGAGCTGAAGATAAAGAAAAACATCTTGATAACAGATACTTTTGAAAGAGGGACAACAATCTAAATGACTGCAAATTTCTCATGAGGAACTATGAAGATCAGAAAGAAGCAACACTTTTTTCTGAGGTGGGTGCTATAGGGGATGGAGCCCAAGATAGGCAAGTACAGTGGTACCCTGACCCACAAACTTAAATTGTTCCACAACTCTGGAAAAGATGGCCACATTTATGTTTGTGCAGGAATGATGGCTGCAGTCATGTTTGTCACTTGATGTAGAGTTTGCGAACAGAAGCATTCGTGAATGGAGATACCACTGTACTCTACTGTACCCTCAGCTAGAAGTGATCTCTTTGCTGAAAGAAAGAATTGCCACCACAGAACTCTGTATTAGAACTCCCATTTTAGAGAAAATATTCTCAGGGAATAAATGTGAGATGAAGAAAAACTCAGGAGAATTTGTTGCCAATAGATTTGGAAGGGGAAAATAGAAAAAAAAGTGCAAAGAGAAAAGCTCAACAAACTTCTTCAGTTAGAAGGCCAATGTCACCAGATGTAAACCTGAACAAGAACAAGAACAATGGAAGTGGGAACTTTCCAGGTAAATATAAAGCTACTTCTCTTGAGTTTCATAAAATATGCTTGATGACTGAAACTAAAGTTCATAGCATTACCTGATGGGGTTTTCAGTGGGTCCATGTGGCACACCATGAAGAGGAGGAAGGGAGGACCTGTGCAATAGCCAGGTCCCCTCTCCCATTTCAGGTATTGAAACACTGATGCCAAGCAGACAGTGCATATACTGAAATCCTTAGAAAAACCACTACCAAAACTGTAACACAGACAAGATATACAGTAAAAACAGTAGGTAAATTAAAATGTAATACCAACAGTGTTCAATTACTCAAATGAAGGGAAGAGGAAGAACTACAAGAAGACAAAATATTGCACCTCAGTTCAAATATACTAATAATTTTATGAAACGTAAATGGTGTAAACATACAGTTCAAGACAGATTTACAAAATATGACTGATTGACTGATTGATTAGGTATGGAGAATCGAAATCAGGATCTCATGGTTGCCAGGCAGGCGCTGTGGCACTGCAGCATACCCCAGCTTGAGAATACATGTGATTGATAACCTTTCCCCATACTCTCCTGGTGAATGAATGGGTGGAGAAGCAAGCCTTATTAATGAGTCTAAGTTTCAGTTAGGTAGGATAAAAGTTCTATTGCACAGCAGGGCAACCACAGATAATATGTATTTCTAAAAGCTAGAAGAGATGGTCTTGAATGTTTCACCATCAAAAAATGATAAATGTCTAAGGAGATTGTTTACCCTGATTTAAACATTACACGATATATACATGCAACAACACATCATGTGGTACCCCTGAATATGCACAATTAAAAAATAAATTTAAATAAACACCCAAGTATATAGAAAAGTGTCAAATATGATGATAGAGGTAGATTAAAAGTACAAAGATGAAAAAGATATGCCACACAAACACTAATCAAAAGCTAGAGCAGCCACATGCATATCAGAAACAGGAATAAAATACATTATATAATAACAAAAAGGTCAATTCACCAAGAAGACCATCATCTTAAAAATATTGTATTTCATAGAGCTGCAAAACACATACAGCAAAAATGAAAAGAGAAATGCACAAATCTACAGTTGCAGGTGGAGTCTTCAAAACTGCCCTCCCAGCAACACATACAGACAGAAACATCAGCAACAACAGTGAAGAACTGAGCAATACTCCCAACGATGGAATCTGGACACTTATAGAACAATAATCTACACCCTCAAAGGAAAATTGTCATTCATGTGCATGTGGGACATCCACCCAACAGGCGATATACAGACTCTAAAATAAACCTTAACAATCTCAAACACACAAAATATATTTGCTGACCTTAATGGAATCAGACTAAAACTCAATATCGCAAAGATACAAGAAAATCTCCAAATCTTGCATATAAAACAATACACTTAGAAATAATCTATGTGTTGAAGAGCAAGTTTTAAACCAAACTAGGAAGTAATCTTAGCAAGATGAAAAGGAAAATACAGTGCGTTAAGATGGGTGAAATGTTAATAAAGTATATAAAGGGAATTTATAGAATGAAGTGCTAATATTAGAAAAGAAGTCTCAAATTCTAAGCATTTAGCCTAATATGATAAAAAAGCAAAATAAACCCAAAGTAAGCAGAAGGAAGAAAGTAATAAAGCAGAAATCAATGAAATTAAATTTTTTCTTTAAAACCCATGAATGTACAAGCAATTATTTGGAGAGGTCAGCAGGTCTAAATCATCTCTTTGAGAAGCTATAGGAGGAGGAAACGCTTCCCATTCATTTTATGGGGCCAGCATTACCCTGATACCAAAACCAAAGATAGTACCAAAAACAAATAACAAAAAACTAAAAGAAAAACTCAGGTGAAGTCCAAAACTGTTTGTCCCTCAAACCCGCAACTGTACCCTGTCTCAGTCCTGCTCCCTACTGCTCCTGGTGGAAAGGGCCCTCACTCCTGCAGCTCCAGCGACACACAGCTTTGCCAGGGGCAAGTGTGGGTAAGAAGCACCTGGAGAGGGCGGAGCGAGGCAGCCCCAGGGCCCCTCTCAGATTCAGCACCCAAGCCACTTCTGTTCCTTTAACCACTCCCCTCTCCTCACCCTCCCAGCACACATGCTATATTCAAATGTGGAGGTTTAAGGAGTTTTCTGAGAAGCATCTGAAGAACAAAAGTGAACACAACACAGTGGAACAAAAGCACATAAAGCAATGTGCAACAGAAGGAAGATGAAAACAGCTGGGCTTAGTGCCACAGGCCTGCAAACCCAGCTACTTTGACAGCTAAAGGAGAAAGATCACAAATTCAAGCCTAGCCTGGGCAACTTAGAGTCTGTTTCAAAACAAAAGATTAAAAGGTGTTGTGTGTGTGTGTGTGTGTGTAATGTAGCTCAGTGTGAAGATCCTAGGTTCAATTTTTAGTACAGAAAAAAAAAAAAGAGGCCTCTTGTTCTCGGTGAGAACTATAATCACATTTTTGCCTAATCTTTGAAATGGAACCAACCCCAAGTAACTTTCTACAGTCACTATCTTGTCCCAAAATGGTGATTAAAAACACCACACCCAACTTCCACACTCAATTTGTGACGTTCTCCAACACAGACACAAATAATCTTGAGGTAACAGATACCTGGTCAAACAGATAGACTGTGACATCATCGAAAAAAGTGACTGCCTTTTTTTCCTTCTTCCAGTCTTCGGGCAGCTGACTGATGGCCACTGTTGCAGCTGCTGCCGGCTTCAGGAGGCTCCGCAAATGCCGACTGTCTTCTTCATTGCTGAGGATCACTGGCACAGGGTGCTCCGTGTCATCTTCTGACTCAGAGCTGAGACTGTGCAGGTTGAAGGCCCTCAGGTCCTCGTCAGAGTCGTCACTGTTTTCATCCTCCTCATCGGCGTCCATCCCATCCTCGGACAGGTCGAGCATCCCAGACACGCTGAGTTTCCCCAGGTATTTCCCTTCGATGTCGGGCTCCTTCAGCTTGGGACCCTCAGAGTGGCTGGAGAAGGATTTGTCTATAGCAGCGTTTGTGTACGCAAGGAGTTCATTAGTGTTGGTTCCTGTGGAAGTGAGGGTGCAGGGGTGATCTTCCTGTGTCTCAAAGTCATCACCACTGCTCAGTTCTGAATTCAGCAAACTTAAGGGGCTGTTGGCCTCATCTTCCACAGGATGTGTCTGTCTGGAAACATCTGTCTGTGCTGGCTCCAACATTTCTAACTGCAGGTTACTGGGATTTTCTAGAATCAACGGGTAACTTTGATTGGGCTGGCTTTTGGTGGCTTCTAGGCAGCCATCTTTGGCACCTGGGCTTTGCTCTGGGATGACTGACTCAGGCTGTGACTGATCTTTTATTAACAGCAAGGCTGAGGTGGAGGCTCCTGGGACCTCCTCAGACTTTTTGTCTGGCTCCGAGTCATTGTCCGAGAAGTATGCAGAGTCTCGATAGGAGCTCTGCGAGCCTGAGGCAAAGGTCTGTGAGGTGCCTTCTGCACCTCTGTGGCCACTGGCTGCATCTGAGACGACGATGACTGGGTTGGGGGGCAAGCTGCTCTGCCCAAGGTCTCCAGCAGTGGCTGGGTCCGAATCTGAGGTGCCCTCGGGGGCAGGATGCAGAGTCCACTCAGGAGACTCCAAGTTCTCCGTTTCATAGCCACTGTCTGCTGGCTTATCAGGGGGTAGGAGTTTCTGAGGGGTGTGGGAGACTAAGGACTCCAGTAATGCTTCGTGGACATCCACAGAATCCAGGGAGTCTGGGGTTTCCACTGATTGCTCAGAGGTCGGGATGGCTGTGGATAAGCTGTCTTCCAGGAGGCTGTCCTGGCTGGTAGAATCTGAGGAAAGGGTGGATGCCAAGCCTATGTCTTTGGTGGCATCTTTAGAATTGAACTGATTTAAAGTCTCAATAGCTTCTAAGTTTTTCTTCTGCAAACTGCCACCATGCTGGTCTTCTGAAAAGGGCTGGTTTTGTAAGTCTTGTCTGGATTCTGTACTGGCCTGATTGGCAAGAATACCATCCATGAGGGCAGCATCCCTTTTGGTTAGTTTTAAGGCCTCCTTATTTTGGTGAGTCCTGTCAGGGGGCCTATGGTCCACAATATGGGTGTTGGCATCAGTGGAGGGAAATTCAGTGCGGGCAGTCACCGAGTCTGGGGTAGGGTCCTGGCATGGACAGTCCTCAGGGATGCTGCAGTCCAAACCTGTGGGCTTGCTTTCTCCTGCCTTCGAGAGTGGTTCTGAGGGGCCACCAAGAAGTGTTTCTTTTGCTGTGAGAGAGGTAGGTGGTGTCGGTATTTCCAGGAAAGATGGTGCTGAGGTGCTCTGAGTGGTAACCTTGACACCTGCATCTTCAACCTTGGTGCTTGTGTTCTCCTGTGACAAAGGAGAGCTGGGTGTATCTTCAGGAAATTTAAGCTCACTGTCTAGAGAGTTTCTATGTGATGTTTCCATCAGAGCTTCAGTAAAACCAGCATTCTTAAGTTCTGTGTGAAGATCATTTATAAGCTCCTTGCTGGACAGTGAGCCTTTTAGTAAGTTTTTCTCTTGAAGAAATAAAAAGTTTTCTGACAATTCTTGAACATTCAATGAATCAAAGTGATCTTGATGCAAAAGATTTTCTGATAAACAAAAAGGCTCATGGTCAAAAAGCTTATGGGGCTTTTCTCTGTCTGAGTGGCAGGTTATTCTTGACTTTCTGGGATCCTCCAAACCCGAACCTAATGTAGTTGGCTTAAAGTCAGCAGGAACCCCATTGAGTTCCATTAAGTTGAATATATTTTGGTGGCTGGGCAAATCCTCAGTTTTCTCAAGATCATTGAATATATTGTTGAAAGGGCTTTCAGGGCCACTGGTAACATGGAAGTCTTCAGCTATGCTAGAATCTTTAGGATCTGTACTACTCTGAAAGAAATCCTCATCTGTACTAGATTCCTCAAAGTCAAGGTTCTTGAGGGCTGTCAACTGGGATGCCTCAGTTCCTGTCTTTTCTGGGTTATCCATTTCCGTTGTGAGCAATGCAGGTGGGTAATCGAGCTCCAAGTTGCTTCTGCTTTTTTCTTCTAACTGGATGTAATAGTCACTTCCAACAGAAAGGTTGTGAGCATCAAAAACAGGAACCACTCCAGGGGCTCTAAGGGGGACCTCCTGGCCACTGTCATCTTGTTTCCCAGGCCCGGGATCTGAAAGGGAGCTTTCGAACACTTCAACAGGAAAGAAGACGCTGGAGTAGGACAAGGCTTCATCTGGGTGTCCCCGGCTGCGCTCGTCAAAATGATCATGCTTGGCGGCCTCCCACACATATTCGAAGCTCAGCCCCTGGCTTGTTTCAGTCACTGTGAGGACCTCTTCCATCTCTCGACCAAGCCGATCTCTGGTAAAATGGTCAAGAATTGGGAATGCGGCATTGCTTGAGGTGTCTCTGCTGTTGGTGTTTGGCTTGAGAGCGTTCCACTGTTGCTCAAAGTCCACTTCTGGGTCCCGCTGGCTCTGCATGCGCAGGTATGTCAGCAGTCTGTGCACGTCTTCAGCTGCTGGCCGTTTGTCTGGTGACCGCCAACACAACTGTAAAACTTCATACCTAGGCAACACAGGAGAGGCAATTAGTGAAATGATAATGAACTATTTTAAAATAAGAAAAGACCATAGAAATGGTAGCCAACTCAATACCCTCAAATATTTCTGTACTTTAATCACTGCCAACCACCAAAGGGAGTTCAGTTCACTGGGAGATCATGAAAGAAAGGAAGAAAGGAAAAGAAAGAAAGAAAGGAAAAAAAAAATGAACAAAGAAATGTAGTATTTAGGCCATTCATGTTTTGTTTTTGTTATTTTCTTTCTTTTTTTTTTTTTTGTCTTTTTCCTTTTTATTGGTACCGGGGATTGAACTCATGACTGCCTGCTTGCAAGGCAGGCGCTTATGCCGCTGAGCTAAATCCCCAGCCCCCTGTTATTTTCTTTTGAGACAGAGTCTTGTCACATAGTTCAGGCTGTCCTTGAACTCAGTATGTAGCCCAAACTAGCCTTGAACTCATGGTAATCCTGCTTCAGTCTCCCGAGTGCTGGGATTACAGGCATGTACCGCCCTGCTCAGTTTGGCCCATTTATTTTCAGGACATTCCAAATTATCTAGCTGCAATTCATTTGCTAGGTTATTTGTTCTTCTGATGATTATGCAATGACTCAGCCATTGAATTCAGAAACAGATCTACTATGCTCTTTTAACACATGCACTATCTCATATATTTTTTAATTTACTGATTCTATTTTATGAGAGTTCACACGGATAAATGTTCTTGTAGCCGCTCTCTATTCCTCTAATAACAGTAGTCCTTGTGGTATGTGGCTTCCTGCGATAAGGTAGCAGCTAAAGAGGAACTGGATTTCTAGTATAGTGTATATCTAGTTGTCCTCACAAAGCCTACATGCTCATAGGTGGGGCTTTTTGGAGGTGGCTGGGTCATGGATGTGTGGTACTGTGTCAGGGCAGTCCATTTCAGGATGAAAGGCTTGTGATAACTAAACTGGTTTAGTATAGATCTGGGTGTGGATAATGGACGGTCTGCCCTGAATATGGGCGACACTACCAAAAAGGCTTATGGCCCGGGTGGGATACAGAGGAAAGGGAAGCTCGTGCTGCTTCTTGCTGCTTTGATGCCTCCTGCCTGCTTCGCCGTGGACTGTTCCTCTGCAGTGAAGCTCTGCTGTGCCGCCTTGCTTAGAACCAACAAACTATGCACTGAAGCCTCTACAAACTGTGAGCTATAATACAGCTTCCCTCCCTTAATTTTGGGTGTTGGGTATTTTGTCTCAGCAATGAGAACAGTAACCAAGGCAGTCTCAGCAGGACTGGATGACAATGTTCGAAATTTTAAACTGTACCCACAAACCAAAGGGAGGACAAAGACAGTGTTACAGCACTGCATTTAGAGATTATGTTGCATCGTTCTGGGCGAGACAACTCTAGCAACCTGGGGAGATGAGCAGCACTTGAAAACTGGGTGCTGCCAGATAGGCAGAAGGGGTATAGGTAGTGGTTGCAAGGGAGGTGAAGCTAATCCCAACTGGGAATACAGCAAGAAATAGTCCAAAGACTTGCATAAAAAGTAAATTTTTTTTGTAGGTGTCAATACACACTATGCAAATTAGTTCCCATTGCCAATTTGAACACTATATGCTATCCAAGTTCTCACACATGAGTCACTGCTCTTATTTTTTTTTTTTTTTTTTTTTTTTTTTTTGTCTTTTTCCTTTTTATCGGTACTGGGGATCGAACTCACGACCGCCTGCTTCCAAGGCAGGTGCTTATGCCACTGAGCTAAATCTCCAGCCCCCAGGTCACTGCTTATATAAATAATCTTGTTTTAAAACAATCTCACAACAGAAAACTCCCTTATCACTGGCTTTTCTAATTAGTTCATTTTTTTCTTTATTCCACATAATATACAAATTCCAGTTTGCTGTAAACATTTTATGAAAATAATACTAAAATTTAAATATACATATTAATTCTTAAATTACTCACAAATACTGTAAAATGATTGCTTTTCATTTTTTCAATGATTTTTTTTCTGTTTAAAAACAGAAAAAAAAACTGGGTGTGTTGGTGCATGCCTATGATCTCACACTCTGGGAGAATTGCAGATTGAGGCCTATCCTTACTAAGTACCTGTCAAAATAAAGAAGGGGTGGGAATGTAGCTTGGTGCAAAGGCCCTGGGTTCAATCCACAGTGCTTCTTAAATAAATAAATAGAAAATATATGAACTAACACCAAGGACACATGGTTTCCTTATTTTTTGCAAGTGATAAAACATAACGAGAAAGTACTGACCATCTATCGGAATAGGGTTGTTCCAATTGTGGCTTTGGGAGCTTTGTATCTCTCTCCCTGATGACCTGATTGAGGACATCCAGGTCAGACAGGTTTGCATAGGGCTGAGCAGCATTATTAAAAAGCTCCCAAAGTGTCACACCTAGAGACCTGTGGAAACAGAAAATGATTAGCTCTCTCCCCTTTTAGGTGTCAAATTTTTAACACAGTCAGGAATTTCAAAGACAAGGTATGTATTGAAAAGGCTATTAATAATCAGTACATGTGTTTATTTACAAAATAAAACAGCTCTCAAACCATGAGGGGGCATTTCCATAGAAATGAGGACAAGAATGTGTTCTCACATTTACTACCCGCCACAAAAGTACACAATAGAGGTAACAAGCATTGCTATGAGGATATGCTTGTCAGCTTTAAAGGCTCAAGAAACTACTTGAAAGGTACTAGTGTGTTTGAAGTCCTCAGCAAAAAGACTCGAGACAATATTCTGAATTCTGAGGTAGAAAAAAATCCCATTCATAACAGTTGTGAACACCAGAAGATATGTTAAGGAAATCCTTACATGAGCAAAAATTCTCTTCCCTGTTAAGACTCCCACATCTCATGTTCTGGCTACTCCTCAGTACCCTGGTTGCTATCTGGTTACAGAAGAGGCTTCAGATTTGTATCACTGCAGTGAGAGACCTCTTCTCATGCTCATACCCCCCAGCTGCGGGGCTAACGGAAGTACTTTCCCTTTGCTTCCAGGTCTCTGCATTTCCCTCTCTCCACCTACTGTCTTGCTGAGACTCTCCTAACATGGCAGTCATCCATCCTCTATGAGGCCTGAAACCACACAATGGCACTTAGTGTGATCCACGCTTGAGCGAGATCAGGTGCAGCCTACGAAACTGGCATGAAAGCTCCCCAATGATTTGGCCATCCACCAGATTTGGGTATTGATGGTCTATGTAACTCTGATCAGTATGTATCTAGAATACATATTGAGTAACAAACTGTATTGACTCAACAGTTTATCTAACATCATAAAACACAACTTTAAATTTTCTTGTTTTTATAAATGAGTGAAAAGATCCAGCAGATTCAGTATCTAAATTGAGAGATCATTTCCATCAAAAGGAATACAAGAACCTAAGTCTCCCACTCCAAGCCCACAAGTAAGAAGTGCTTCTCTTCCCCAACACAGAATTGTGAGGGTGTATCAAAAGAATTTAAAACACCATCAATAACTTTAAAGAGTTTACAATTTAACTGAAGAAAATAAAAACTTCAAACGAAATATTAAAAACCAGAAAGGTGTTATATGATGAGTGCCAAGATGAGCTGTCCTGCCACTAAGCCTAGTTTGACCTTGGGCAAACCTGCCCACCTGTTTCATTTGCTCCACATCCCTACTTACCTCCCTCCTGTTCTCTCAATAAGGCCCATTCCACCCCCCTGTCCACGCCAGTACTCTTCAGTGGACACAAAGCACAGGCAGCTCCCCTCTGGGAAGAAAAATGTCCCAAGTCTATTCTGCTTTACCCAGAACCTCTGCACAAGATCCCTTTTAGTTGCCCTGGCATGAGCAGTGAGGCCTGTGCATTTGGAAGAGCCCAGCAATGCCACCAGGGACTACTCCAATTATCAGGAATAAGGGTGCTCAGTCAGGGAGAACATAGGCTATGTTTTCAAGCCCACCACCCCTGAAGTACAGTGAGAACTTGGGATGAAACATAAGAAGGTGAAAGCAGCCAGGTGTGGTGGTGCATGCCTGTGATCCCCACACTCTGAGGAGACTGAGGCAGGAGGATCCCAAACATGGGATCAGTACGCGCAACTTAGCAAGATCCTTTCTTTCTTTTTTTTTTTTTTTTTTTTTCCTTTCTCTTCTTGGAATGGACAAGATCCTTTCTTAAAAAAACAAAAGAAAAAGAAAAAGAAAAAAATGTGGGAATATAGCTTATGAAGGCCCTGGGTTCATACTAAGCTATGGTGTTGTAGTAGGGGATTGAGATGAAAGGAACACTGGGTAAGCCCAAAGGAATAACCAGGATACCACCCAGAACTCAGAGCTAAGGAGAACACTGAATCCCCTCTGTTGAAGTACTTCTCAAGGATTAAGTGGGTGACAGTCATGAATCAAAGCCTGGGCCTGCCTACGATAGAGGCCTCATAGAGAGACCACCTCACCTCCTTAAGAGGCAAAGCTGCCATGGCACTGAGGGAGGGAGGGAGGGAGGGAGAGAGAATAAATATGCATGAACAAGGTGTACATGTGAAGCAGTAACCACAGAGCTGGCTTTTATGTGTATTTGCAGCTCAAACTCACATCACAAGCAGTTCAAAAACTCTAATGCTGACTACATACAGCCCTCGCCTACTGTCCTCCCCTGTGCACAACAGAACACCAGGTACGCAGCAGAAGCAAGTTCACGTCTTCTACAGAAGAAGGAGACTTATTCTACATCTCTGAGGATTCTTACCATTGAGAAGTCTCAGAGGAAACAAGGCACCACCAAGAACCAGGAGGACCAAAGCAGTAGTTATTGCAATTATTAATAATTAATCTAATTATTTAAAAAATTGACAAATTTTATGAACCTAAAAAAAATGATTTCTTGGCCTTCTTGGCTAAGATCAAGTACAAAAATAAAAGTACTTCTCAGAACCTTGAACATTAACAGAGATTTAAGAAAAGATATAGCCAAAAAAGAATTTTAGAGAAAGTATTAGTGGCTGGAGCATAGGTCTGAAAAATTATTCATGTAGCACAAAGAGAGGTTATGTGAGAGAGTTTCAGAGACAGAAGTTAGAGCAAGAAGCCATAATTCATGTCTAATTTCACTTCTAAAAAAGGATAAAGTGGGACAGAGGCAATATTTAAAGGATAAAGGCTAAATATTTTCCAGAACTAACATATATCCCCAACCTATAGATATGGAAACTCAAATAACTCCTAAGCAAAAAACTGTCAATCCATACACAAACCATGGTGAAATAGAAAAAAACCAAAGACGCAGAGAAGATTTGAAAAGCAACCAGACAGAAAGTCATATGGCCTTCAAACAACTTAGACAGACTTATAGCTGACTTCTCAAAGCAACAATGGAAGCCAGAAGACAGTAGAATATCTCTTTAATATGCTGAGAAAATAAATGTCATCAAGTAAAAATACATTTCAAGGCCAGGTGTGATGGCATACACCTGTAATCTCAGCAATTAGCAGGCTGAGACCGGAGGACTGCAATGAGTCCACTCTGGGCTACAAAGTGAGTTCAAGGTCAGCCTGAACGCCATAGCGAAACCTCATCTCAAAAACAAACCACAAACTGCTCCTCCAAAATCAATACATTTCAAGAATGAGGACAAAATAGTTATGCTCAGACTTAAAAGAAAGTGAATAGTCTTTTAACCAGTGGGTCTCAATGAAGGATACTCATTTCAAGCAAAAGGGGAATAATCCTAAGGGAATGCCTGAGATTGATTTTTAAAAAAAGAAAAACAACAGCAAAGTGGTTTATAATATGGATAAGTGTAAATGCACACTGATGTTTAAAAACATGGTGGGAGAGTAAAAGAAAAACTTAAAATAACATTAATTATGTGGGTATCTACACACAGGGTGTCAGGTAAACTGAATTAAAATATTCTAAGAGGGTTAAGAAATTAACTAGTATAAGAGTAAAGTAAGTGAAGTAAATCGTTATAGCTTCGAGGGTACACCTCCAAACTAAGACGGAAAGAAAGTTAAAAGAAAATCAAACCAAAAGAAAATAAGAGAAGAAAACAAAAAGAGACAGATGTAAATCAGCACCAAAAAATATGTAGCTATCAATTAAGAAAAATGTGACAGAAATTGTTAGTCAACAATCTGGACACTTTTTTTTAGCATTCACTAAACAGATCCCCATGAGTTATAGTATCAAGTAATACTCCGAATCTTTTTTGTTTTTTTTTCATCAAGTTGAAGAAATATTTACTAAATACCTACTGTACAGTAGGCTCTATGGAAGGCACAGAATATAGAATAAGATGTGGTTTCTGGTTTTAGGGAGGAAAATGGGCAAAAGAGGCAATATTCACAGTTCATCACATCATGGCAATTGTGATCAGTGCCACAGCGTCACTAAGTTGCCTTTTCACACCATCAGGTGCTTCTCTTCCTACATCTTCTGCTTACTCAAAGAGGACACTGTTCCTTGCTAGCTAAAGTCTTAAGAAAGCAGGAAACAGATACATACCAGATATTACTATACTTAGTTTGATCTGCAGTCAGTAGTCTGTCTTGGAAGCTGGTTACTAATTCTGGTGCAGTCCATCGCAGAGGGAAAATTTTTTTATCATCTGTCTCAATATAATCTTCCTGTGTTGTCAGAAAGCACATACAGTATTCAATAGTTACATTTTTTGTGAGCTCAGTGACTTAATTCCAAGTCCAAGAAAACAGTGAAATACCGAGCCTCAAAACACCACTGAAAATAAAGTGGGGATGAAGACAGACTTTCTGGGTGGAAGGGAGGAAGCAAGGCATTTCTCCAAAGCCTCCTGGGCATGCGGAGCTGGTCTGAGCAATGAACACTCAGTCAGCCTTCCTGGAAGAGGGGAAGAGGAAGGTACGCCGTGTCTGCAGCCATGTGGTCTCAGCGTGACAGCTCCCTGCACTGAGGAGGGGGTGTGCCACTGGTGTGCAGCAGTATGTGGGTACGTGCCGGTAATCCCACCACTCTGGAGGCGGAGGCAGGAGGACCACAAGTTAGAGCCCAGTTAGAGTAACTTTGTGATTTACTGAGATCTTGTCTCAAATTTTAAAAAAAGGGGAGGGGGGAGGACTGGAGATAAAGCTTAATGCAAAGATTCTAGGTTCAATCCCCAGTCCTAAATAGAGATTGGGTCATTCATTCTTCATTCCATGTTACCAGGGATGTGACCATAGACAGGCTACAGAGGTGAGAAGTCTTTCTCATCTGTAAAATGAGGATCACACAAACCTATCTGCCTTTGTGATGGGGAGTAAATGAAGACCCTGGCAGCTACTTCAGTGACAGGTAGACAGCAAGAACTCAAGAGAGTAGAGCTGCCACACGGATGAATAACCAACTTACACTTACATGTTTTGAAGACATTATCCCTTGGCCTTCTCCCCTCTGTAAGCATTCAGTAAGATGGATATTACCCTTGTTTTGCTGCTTAAAAACTGAAGGTCAGGTGGCTCGTGTGCGGCTCCTCGAAGTACGGAGTCACACAATTTCACTGTGTCCCCTTATTCAGTTGGCACACACACACACATGCTTGCATGCACATGTGTATATACATGTATGTGCACACACACGTGAAATCTCACCTATTTGGGCACACTTTTTAGGGGTATATTTATGACAGAGTTAAAAACCTAAATTCCAAGCTTACTGAATTTGAGCCCCAATTTTACTGATCATGTAATGAAGACATTCTATATTATACGTTATTTTGTTACATACGTAATATAATTACTGTTGTTTATATGTTCATTTTGAGATTATGTAACACCAGACTACATCAGTTACACTCAGTAAAAATTCATTCATTTGTTTGTTTGTTTGTTTCTGAGACAGGTCTCACTATGTAGCTCAGGCTGCCTGGAACTCACAGTGATCCCCTTGCCTCAGCCTTCTGAGTGCTGGCATTACAAGCATGCACCACCATGCCCAACAAGTCCTTTTAAAGAAAGCACTTGGAAAGCTGTCACAAAACCTCAGGGCACAGAGCCACTGATTTATTAGACAAACCATGCAGCAGAAATCAATACTACCATTAAGAAGAGGGAACAAACCACACTCCCTAGAGGCATCATGATCAAGACGCTTACCTTCGCCTCCAAAAACAAAGTTGCAGTATAACTTCAGGGTTGAAATTAAATCACATTAAGGAGACAGTGTTTAAACCGCTGGCTTACCTTGTACCTGCTGAATCCGATTCCATAATCTCCCACTTTCACATTTAAGTCAGAGGTAAGAAAACAATTTCGCAGCGCTAAATCACTGCAAACAAGAGCAAGAACACAAAAAGAGTCAATAATCGCTTCTGACAAAAGCCTTCTGTAGAAACTGGAGTTGTGCATTAAGAGCTCTCTGCTTACCAATTCATGTTTTATTTTATTTCACTTTTTGAGACAGGATCTCACTACTTAGTTCAGACTACCCTCGAACTTGTGATCCTCCTGCCTCAGCTTCCTCACTTGTGGGGAACGCAGGCATGCGCCACCATGCCTGGCCCAATTCATGTTTCCAATTTTCATAGAAAAAAAGTATATGTACAATACTCCCAATTACTTAATAAAGATGATCACATTTTTGGCAAATGATACAAATGTTAAATACTGACTCTGTACTATGTTCTGCATTAAAGCCAGATTTCTGGCTTGTTTGCTAGTATTTTAAGAAATGACTGAAATAGCGGTTTAAAAATAGCTAAATTGAGTCTGGGGCAGCATAAGCACTTGCCTGGCAAGCACAAAGTCCTGAGTTTGATCCCTGGTACCAAAAGAAAAAAAAAAAAAGTTAAGTTGAAATATTGTTTAATAAGTTTTATTACTTGATTCTAGCAATAGTCTATTTGTTATAAGATTAGTAAAGTTACCACTTTGGGAAACCCAAAATAATCCACATTGTTAAAAATGTCTCATTTCCCTCTCATTTTTCATTTGATAGGCAGCCATAATAATCAGGCCCTTTCCAAATCATTTATCCCTTCCAAATTCTAAATTGCTACAAGTGAAGTTAAAAGTCTATTTTCTTTCTGTTTTTTTTTTTTTTTTACCTGTACCAGAGATCGAACTCACAACCACGGGCTTGCAAGGCAGGCACTTATGCCGCTGAGCTAAATCCCCAGCCCCTAAAAAGCGTATTTTCAAGACTTACTTAAAGTCACTGAGTTAAAGGATACCTAGTATATAATTTTAAGATATCAAATTAATCAAAAACTCTTATAGTTCATAAAAATTTAAAGTATCTTTATAGAATTGTAAAAGACCCCAAAATGAAGACAAAACTATTAAATCTTTTTTCACGAATTCTCATTTCCAAAACTCACATCTGAAATGTAATCAAATCCCAGATGACAGTAACAGCTAACACTGAAATAATTATTCATTGACTCAGTGATTCAGTTTATATATATATATATATATATATATATATATATATATATATATATACATATATGTATTTTTTACCAGTGAGGTCATTTCTCCGAGCAGGGTACATTTCCTTTAAGCATAGAATCTTCATCACAATAAGTCTATGAGGTGGGCACTATTATTTTCCCCATTAACAAATAAGGAAACCAAAGCACAGAGGCTTGAAGTAACTTTGCGGGGGTCACAATGACAGCAAGGTAGGCACTGTCGCACTTCTGCCTTGGAAGACCACCAAGGATGGTACCAATGGCTGTCGCATGGTGTCACACATGTCTCATAAACTTACTGACTTGAATTTCGAGTTAGTTAGGTTCAACTGCTTTCTACATTCTCTGTTTACCAGTGACAATTTTCTTTTCTTTTTTTTTTTTTTTAAAGCCTACAGCACCCGGTATTCCCAGGCGGTCTCCCATCCAAGTACTAACCAGGCCCAACCCTGTTTAGCTTCAGAGATCAGACGAGATTGGGCGCGTTCAGGGTGGTATGGCCGTAGACACCAGTGACAATTTTCATGACACTCCAACTAGGCCTGAAGCAGTCTCACTAATAAAGAATCTTTCAATGTACAGAAAGGAACTGGACCCTAGTTTTTTTTTTTTTTTTTTTTTTTTTTTGAAAGGAGGAAGGAAGGAGCAACATGCCATTCAAGGACACAAAAAAACGCAAAAGAAAAGCTACTTCATCCATTGGACCAAGTGCAATGGGAAGCAATTGGGTTCAGATGATAGAGGCCTGGTTCTTGAGCACCACTAAGCACCTCTGGAGTGAGTCTATCAATAGATTCTACTACAGCTTTCCAACACTTCCCCCCAAGACTGGAAATAAATGCTGGATGCCAACATCCTGACAGGGGAACACATGTCCCCATCAGCTGGGGACAGGGAAGAGCTCAGGGCTCTACAGGGCCTGGACAACTGCTTGTCCCTCCTGTCTCCTGACAAATGTCCAGTATAGGTCTCTGACACAACAAATGTGAAGGCTAGATAAAAGATGAAGCTAGGTGTAGTGGTGCATGTCTGCAATCCCAGCACTCTGGAAGCTAAAGCAGAAGAATCTCAAGTTTGAACACAGTGTGCATAACTCAGCAAAATCCTGTCTCAAAAGAAATAAAAAAAAAAGGTTGGGAATGTAGCTCAGTACTAAAGAAAGAGACAGACAGAGAGAACAAATATACACATGAGGCCTTGGCTCCCATTCTCAGACATAAAATCTGAATGCAATTCACCTGATATCCTTGGATCAAGGAACACTTCTGAGTACCCGGAACCCAGAGGTACTGAGGAAAAAAACTGTGGCCCAACTGGTGAAGACTTACAAACCTGTTCCCCAGCTCCACCTCAGCACAGCAGGAAAAGCAATGGATTATCAGGAGGCCTAGATCTTTTTGTGGCCAGGAGGGTATGATGTCAGGCAACTTGTGTGTGCTGAAAGGCCTCAGTTTTTGCAAAAGGGCAACAGGAGTATGGAAAACAGCTAACTTGCACAGTTGTCGTAAGGTAAATTAAAATGTACATGGGATATTTTAAAATATTAAAGTGCTACCCAGACTTAAGGAAATTATATACTTTAGTTCAAAACTGGCAAAAATACTCTCTGAAGCCCAGTAATGTGCAAAGCCATAGAACAGGAAAGCATAAGGTGCCACCACATAGGTGACTTGATGTCAGGACTACTCCCTGTTCCAATAGGGAAACACGAACACACAACCAGCATGTTCTTCAAGCTGAAAAACAGGTCTAATGACGAAGCTGCCCAATTTTAGTGGCACAGGCTGATCACTTTGTTTGGCAGCACCTGCAGTGGATAGCTCAGTTGGTGACCTGTAGGGTTGCAGGAGGAAGTTGGACACAGGAAGTAGGTCACAAGTATAAAAGTTCCCAGAAACTTCAAGTGGAAGCATCACTTCTTTTTTTCTTTTTTTGGTGTTTCTGAGACAAGGTTTCGCTATGCAATTCAGGTTGGCCTTAAACTCACAGTGATCATCCTGCTTCAGTTTCCCAAGAGCTACCACATCCAGCCATCACTTGTTTTTAACTCACACCAACTACACCCAACTTTGAAGGAATTCTCCAATGAAAATGTTTTTTGGTGGCAGGAGACATTTCCAAAATAGTCCACACTTCTGTCCATGGTGAAGGGAGTAACAACAGGAAGTCAAATGTCTGAGTTACTGAATGTTCTTCTAGGCTCGCCATACCTTGTCTTATATAATCCTGATTAACACTTGCAGTCAGAGAAGATCCCTACTCAGTATAAGAAATATGCCCAGCAAGGAGTGTAATGCACTGGTAAAGTGGGTGACAGCACACTGACCACTTTAATGGGTGCTGCAAGCAGTAAGGTTCTAGAGAGGGTCCCAATAAGATGTGACACGGGTGTAAGTGGGAGGTTATACTGAGAGCATTCTGGGGAGACACAGGGGCTTTCCTACAACCTGGCGGCTTTCTCCTTACTTACTTGTTCTGTTCTTGCCAGAACAGTAAGTACATTTACTGAGCATTTACTGCGTATCTGGCACTCATGGGCTCTGGGTACCTAGAATTCTTTCACTGCGACATTCAGCCTAGACCTCAAGGAATGCAGTCTTAGCCGGAGCACGCTTGCCACTGCAGTGGGGCCAGTACAGAACACAAGAAGGGCTCCCATGCAGGCTCTCTCCAGGGCAGAGCAGAGCTGAGAATGAGCTGGGCATTGGGGCTACATGGATTTCACCTTAGTGCTCCATGGTACCTACTGCAAAGCTAGATGACACATATATAAGGCAGCAGCTTCCAGGTCCTGGAGATCTGCCCAGGGTTTAGACCCCAAACAAGGGCAACATTTGTTCTGCTCAGGGCACTTTTCACATCTGGCCCAGAGATGGAGTCTGGAGGTGTGAGGCTGAAGTTGCTAAGAAGGCAGAACTTGAGGGAGGCTCTGACCTAAGGGTACTAGGTCTAGGTATTGCCTAGACCAGTGATGGCGATCCTTTTAGAGATTTCACTGATACAAACAGCCTGCTGTGGCATGTGTGCCAAAAAAGGTTCCTGGCCTAGATAGTGTCTAGAACCAAGGTGAGCTGAGCCAAGCAAAGCTGCCAAATGACCACCTTCCAGGACAAGGTGGTTCACTCATTGCCATAGTGATTCTCACTTAGAGGGTACATCTGAATCACCTGGGGCAGTTAAAACAAAATGCAACAGGCTTGGGATAGGAGCAAAGAACACACCTAAGATGTGGCCCAGAACCAGACTGGTCTGCAAAGGGTGGGAGGCTGAGCAAAATGCTATTCCTCTCACCGAAGGAACTGTTTGTCAAACAACCTTCTCCCAACACCCCAGTCTAGACTAGAAGGCCACATCAGATTAGGATCAAAGAAGGCCAGCATGTTTCAATCAGTGGCCACAGTGCTGGTTAAAAAGGCAGCCAGCACTTTTCTACAGGTTCCGGGACAGTAATTTTCCCCTAGGGCCCTGGTTTACTTAAAAGGATTGAGTATTTAGTGGTTTACCACAACATACTTTTTTTTTGATGCTGGGGATTGAACTCAGGACCTTGTGCTTGCCAGGCAGGCCCTGCACTGCTGAGCTACTGCCCCAGCCCTCAATTTTTTTTTTTTTTTAAGACAGTGTTTCTCTAAATAGTCCAGGCTGGCCTTAAACTCCCCATGTAGACCAGGCTGAGCCCTCACTCACAATCTTCCTGCCTCAGTACTCCCAGTGTTCAGGACTAGAGGTGTCTGCCAGCACACTTGGCTACAACACATGGTTTTATACCGAAAGTTATAGCCCCAAAGTGATTGCCTGGTGCTGGCCACCACTGGACTTAGGTTTTCTCCTGGGCTGCAAATACCTGGCCCACAGC